AAAAAAACGAGAAAGATTTCCATCTCGCCCGAATGTTCTCCATGATTAATGTCATCTCGTGTGATTCCACTTTCTTTGTAATTATATTTCGCAATAATTCCGACGTTTACTACGAAAAGGCATTAAGTATATCGGATACGCGATCGCACACTTCGATATCAGAAGTCTATATCGGCGCGCCTGTTCCCTCGCCTCGTAATTTAATCGCCTCTTCTTTTTCTCCGAGAGAAACTGTTTTTTTTTCTTTTTATTGCCTGCGTGAAAAACTTCTCGTTATCTGTGTGTGTGTGTGTGTATGTGTTTTTCTTTTTTTTTTTTTTATGAAACGTTACAACGCGAAAGCCGCACGATGTTTTGCAAAACACGTACCTAGGTGCTTCTCCCCGAAAAATATTTGCGCAAATGCATTTGTGTGTATCACGCCGCCCGAGGTCATTAGAGCAAAAGAATGTTTCACAGCACGTTCTACGGTTTACAATTTTCCGCGAAAGTATAAAAGTTAAACTCTCCCGAGAGCGATGAATGAAAAATTGTTCTTTGATCTCCAGAGTTTGAGACCGCGATTTTAGTTAGAACATTTATCATATACATTTGATCGTAGAACTGTAAATGATCAAATCGCACCGTTTCGCACAGTGTTTTTGCTGCGTTCATTTCCTCTAACGCGTTAGGTATTACGATGAGGTTTCCGCAACGATAAGAAAAAATAGCGTGTTATTTCAAGCCGCTTTAAGTTCCCATCTCTCCGTTTCTCAAAGCGTTCAATTACTTTTTGTTATCTCCGGTTTGTTTACACCCCTGGTGTTATGCGTTCTTGACAGAGCGGGACTAAGAGCCTCGAACGCAATAATGAACCAGCTACTTATTCGCGTGATTGATGGCGATTTAAGTGAACAACGTCGCGCAGTTGTCTCCCATGTGATCGAGTTACCCGAGAGTGCGAGAGTTTGTGTGATCTTTCTCCCGTGTTAGCTCGTCGAGAGAGATTTTCCTAAAAGAAAACTCGTTACACGAGCTTGACAATGTAACTTTAATTGCGTGGCGCCACGCATCTATTTGCGAACGCGCTCTCTGAAGCGGCATCCGATTAACGCGCCTTTTTATTCTTATAACTCGCACGTAGTGCACTTACCGGCGTAGTGCCTGCAAATGTGTACTGATGTGAACCGCCCACACGATGATGCGCGATTGAGGTGTTGTTCGACAAAACAATACCTATCTTTATAACGTCATTAATAACGTGATATCGATTCCGCGCCACGATAAGATGTATTCAAAGGTCTCGCTCGGGGTGAGTCTTATGTTTGGATCTGCGCGTAACGACACGGTCAATGCACGCAAACACGGACTCTTACGAAATTACTTATCCATAAAACAAATTACCACAAACACGTCAAAATTGTATTCGGTTTTTACGAACATCAATCTAATTACGTGTCAGATCTCAAGATTCAGGAATTTTCTTTAGCAAAGCAAATCCGAATGTTGATTAAAGCAAGACTTGGGCGGCAGCGAGAAAATACCGCAATTAGGCTTTCACGAGGTTGGCAAAGAGGAAGTTTCGTCGTATCATCTAATTGTTTGCTCGCTCTCAATCTTATTGCTGAGTCAATCAGTGCGTAACGTAATAATGCGAATAATTTTAGATTAAGTAGATATAATAAGTGGAGTAAAACATTTTTACGTAATTCGCGTAAATGTATATTCTCTGAAAATGATGTTACATTCGCGTCGTCGACTCTTATTTACTTTATTCTCGTCTCTTAAGCTGACAATATATATAATCCAAACATACGCAATATATTACACGCGCCTCTCATGACGCGATTTCTTGATTGCCTCCTTGTTATTATTATACAATTTGTTTTGCTTTCAAAACGAAACTTCGGTCGTTCCATATTATCGCACCACGATCGAAATAACAGAAATAACCATATGCTTCAAACCACCGGATACGGATTCATGTTAATGAGAAGAAAGATACTTTTTTCAATTGGGATTAATTAAATCTTCCGGTACGAAAAGTTTCCACAGACCGCGTTTTTTTGTTATCGTCGATTGGCGCGCAAAATCAATCGCCTACTACGTGCGGAAACGTACCGAATCCCGCAGAGTTAATCGATAATTTCACCCGCGTCGAGGAAATCGAAAAAAATAATGACCGACAATCTGCGTGTAACTGATTGTGAGTAAAACGGACGAGTTCGGGTGTTACGGCGCGGAGTGATTGATTGTTCGACTTATCTCTAATCTCACCGAAATTCACCGAGTTTGCTATCGGGTTCGTGAAATCGGCGTCACGGTCGTTTGCACGTCATTAAAATTAATTAGATGTTATTAGGATTTAGCCGACCGGTTAGGTACGGTATGTCGCAGCTATATCTAATGGTACAATATAGTAGTCTCCCGCTCGTTTGCGGACGAAACGTCGAGTTCCACCATAGCGCTCTTCGAGCACTATTGTACCACATTAATCTGTCGCTCGTGACGTCGCATTACGAAGAGATAAAATAAAAAAAAATGATACTTGCAAGCACAAAAAATTCATACACGTGTCGTCTTGTTACTGCGTCGTATTTGTGAGTCTATTCATTCGTCGTTGATTTTCCTTCTCGCGCGCGACCGAAATATCTCTCCTCGCACGCGTAACGACACATCTCTCTTTCGCTATTTACTTTCCCTCGCATCAAACGCGGCCGTAATAAAGACGTCTGTCAGAATATTACACATCCGCGATGAGTCGCCGAATACAAATGTTCGCACAAAATGATTATTCACGATTTTGTGCGTGGACTTCCGAGGATTCTACACGTTCCGCTACACGGAACAAACTAAGAAAAAGTGAAAACAATTGCGCTGCTTGGACAAACGAGAGCAGAATTTTCTATCGACAAATCCGAGTGGAACAAATTTATTGGATAATTTATTAAATTTATTTATTAAATTTATTGGACTCTTTGGATTTTATTTATTTTTACCTGTGTACTTCGTCCGAACAAAGCAAATGTTTAATTTTGCTTTTATACGTGTCCATTTATTTAACTTTTTAACGGTACGCGTAAGAAAAGTGAAAACCCACGCGTTCATCTGCGAGTGAATCGCTCACGATGGGGAAACATTCGAGCCAAAAGAACAAATTAAACGTAGTTCCCAGTGGTAAATATTAAACAACGCGCAGGATCGTGAAAAAGAGCTGAAAATTCTCGCGATTACGTCCGTATACAATAAGAAAATCTGGATCACGGCGCGGCTCGGTTGCGAGAACGAATTACCAACATCACAAAAGGCAAAAGCGAGCAATCAGGACGCGCAAGTAAAGCACATTCAAGCGTACATTCACGTATTCGCAAACTGCGGCGAGGTCCGGCGTGTTCCAGAAATGGACAGAGAGGCGTGTTTCAGTAGCTTTCGCTGTTCGCGCGCAGAAAGCCCCGTAATACAGAAGCTCTGCAGCGATAATTACCATATATTCGCATGCTCCTTAAGCATGACGGGGGCATGACCGGGAGGCTTCGCCGGTTTCGTGAAGAGAGATTAGCATCATAAAGGCGAGAGGGAAACAGTTTCCACTGGGCGAGAAGACGCTCCTCACGAAAGACGCCTCACGCGTGCGTGCCGCGCTCGCTCGCGTGCATTCCACGATATATCCTACGACATCTCATGAAAATGCGAGTCGAGTTTTTTTTTTTTAAATTCTTTTTGAAACTGCACTTCCGCCGTTCGTCGTGTGCCTATATTTCGTATTCTTTTGAATCTTTTGTTTTCAGTAGACGACAGACGCGCGCTATTAAAGACCACGTTATTCATCGTATGTATTGAAAATCCATATAGTTCAAGTTACATGTATACTATAGATTTTTAATATTAAAGAAAGAGAGAGAGAAAGAGAAGAGAGGATCTGATGCGTCACACTATGTTGCCGTTGTGTTTCATGAAAAAGTTTAAGCGAGTAGAATCGGATTAAACAAGACGTGCTCTATCTTCATAATATCTGGCACCTAGATAATTATAATTAGTATAGTAGCTACGATAATGCTTATATATAGCGTTAAAGCTGCTTTCGTGTTTCCTATGGTACAATATTTTGTATTTATCTAATAATTTAATCAAAGAGGAGTGCGAGATATATATACGTATGTATGCGCGCGCGCGTGATATTTTCTTTCTTGTTCATTTTGCTGTGAATTTGTACGAAATTATCTACAGGGAATTTCTATTAATGCGTAATAGCTATTAAATACCGTATATTATTAAATATCCAATTTTAAAACGGTTTTTGTGTTTCAGTCAAGGCAAGCAAAGTGCAAGATGCAGTTAGGTGTACGATGAGCTAATTAATTAGTGCAGCTCTTTGTTTGTTTATAAAATAGGAAATTCAATTAATTAATTCCTTAAACTCTCTCTCGTTTGTTTCGTGCAAAGCGAACATCTGTCTGTATAGATCGCAAAAGCATACATGTGCGATCATGTGAAAGACATTTAAACGTGTACAAATAGAGAAACAGAGAATTTCTGCGTAACGCAATGTTCTGCTTTCGCATTTTTTCTACATAAATAATCAAAATTCATCGATTACATTGGATTAATCTCGCGGCAATGGCAAACCGCAAGATATCGAATCAACACTTCTCATTACTTTCAGATCTATCAATCCGCGCTTATTGATTCATACGGTACGTGAAACCTTCGCATATTTCCGCATGTAACCGATTTTCCCGCGCAAGGAAATCAAAGACCGCTATCACTGACAACTTTGATAATCAATACGCGTATTTGTCTTATCTGTTTTACGCGCAATAAATTCTCGTTGTGATCAATCATAATCAGATATCGCGCGTTTTTCCGCATGATCGTAGAAATGCACTGCGAGACGAAGGAGAGAAAATCTTTTATTCTTGCGAATTCCTGATACATCAAATGAGAATTTTTTTTTCTTTTTTATACACGCGTACAATTGTTCTTGTCAATTTGATAGGTTTTTTTTTTTCAAATTTCCGCAGCGATTGTGGGAAAAAGGCAAAGCGGCGGAAGTGGTCGGACCGGTGCGAGTGATTCATCGGTATGTCAATATGCCAGAACAGTCTGCGGAATTTTATAACGAGACGACGAAAAAGATGGAAGAGGTAAATATCAGTTGTTACTCGGTAGCCTCAGGAAGAAAATTGTCGTCAGGATTTACTCAGAACGTTACTTTTTTGACAGGTGCGCGGCTGCGTACCGGCCATGGGCTACAGCTTCGCAGCTGGCACCATAGACGGACCCGGTTCTTTCGCCTTCGAGCAGGGAACAACGACGCCAAATCCATTTTGGAACGCCGTGCGAAATTTTCTGGCCGCCCCGACGGAGAACGACATTCGCTGTCACGCCGCAAAGCCTATTTTACTGGCCACCGGACGAGTGAGTTTATCTTTTTTTTTTTTTTTACCTTTTTTTCTGCGGATTGTTTTTTTCTCCGCACAGCCCACATTGTGATCTCAAATCTATCACCAGTGTGTAATTATTATTGCCATTAGTGTGCAATTAGATGTACGATTAGCGCGAGATGCGATGATTGCGTAGACGTCAGAGATTTTTCTCACAGATACTCTTCTGTACGAAGAAGTACTGACAATAAAATTCAGGGGAACGTGAATTATCGCGTTCCGATAAGGTAACGATTTGCGATTTGTATGGAAAAAAACTGCTAAGCGTCACTTAGCGGTTACGCGCGCGATTTACTGCTGTGCAATTAAAAAAACGCGTCTGTAAAATAGCGCGAGTCGTACGCGCGCGATATCGCGTCGGCCGCTTAATCACCGAGAGTTACGTTTTTCCGCTTGTTTCAGATGAGACTGCCGTATCAGTGGCAGCCGAGAATCATCTCGACTCAAGTCGCCATGATCGGCAGCGTGTTCATCGCCGGCGTGCCCGGCGAATTCACGACAATGTCCGGAAGAAGATTGCGAGAGGCCATCAAAACCGTCGTGAACGATGCGTTCGACGACGAAACGTTCGTAATAGTCGCGGGGCTTTGCAATACGTACAGCGATTACATAACCACGCCCGAGGAGTATCAAGTAAAGAGTGTTCATTGTTATTGCCAAATGTATGCACTTGCTCGCTCGAAAGAATCGAGACTACTTGGGAAGCTTCCACGTGGAACACGCGCGTCCCGCGAAATTTTCTATTTTGCGTAGCGCAAGCATTTTGCTTTTGGCGAAATAAAACTGCGAAGTAAAATTGTTAGAAGTATAAAATCAGGTCCGAGAACGCGGCGCGTTTCTCATTCCGTATCGCGCGCTCATTTCGTCATGAAATGCATAATGCATATAATAGTCGCTGAATTATTAACTTTCAGATTCAGAGGTACGAAGGTGCATCGACAATATACGGGCCGCATACGCTTACAATCTATTTGAAGCAATATCAAGAGCTGGCACAGGCAGCCGTTCAAGTGAGTAAATAGCGAAATTATACGCAACATGAAAAGTGCATTTTTAAGTGTATCTCTACGAGGTGCTTTTTCTTCGTTAATATTTTAAAAACTCAATGACGCGATTTCGAAAGTTATTTTATTATTTTTAAAAAACAGTTATTTAAGTTTTTTTTAAATTTGTTTAATCATACACATTTTTTTTAAATAATTGTTTATGCCATTGTGTGCGATCGCTGCAAGTTCTCTTCGTGTCGCATTCCGCAGAATGGGATTTCTCGTAAAAGTTTGCATCGAATTGTCGCGCGAAAAAAATAACGTTTTGCTGGAATAGCAGGAACATTGCTCTATGGCCAGCGAGCAAGATTCATCTTGTTTGAATTTTGTGCCAATAAAACGTTTTTTGGCGAGACAAAAAAAATTTTCCTTGCCAAGTTTTCCTTGCCGCTATACATATAATGGTAAAACTTTTTCTTTTCCGCGCCTGCACTATAAGATTTATACCCAACAAAACACGCTATTTTCTTGCTGTCTTACGTATATTACAGAAGCGGACGCTTTCGCCGGGACCGTCGCCTCCGGAGCTTCTGCAGAGTAGATTGATTACTCTTGTTCCTCCCGTGTTGTATGACACCCCGAAATGGGGCTTCAACTTCGGCGACGTGACACAACAGCCAGTTCAGAAGGTCGTATCACCCGATGACACGGTCACGGCGACTTTTGTAAGTTTGTCTCTCTTTTTATTTTTTTTTTTTTTTTTTTGCATCGTTACTTTACAACAACGGTAAGATTTCAGTAAATCGCTTTAAAACCGTCGCAACAACCGTCGACAAACGTTGCGCTAAATTCGCCGTGCGTACATATCGATGTTACACGAAATAATAATAATAATAATAATAACAACTTTATTGAACATGTATATTAGCAAAGAATATTACAGTAATTTATATACGTAAGCGTAAACATGGTTCGAATGGCGAGGCAACGGCAAATATTGCTGATATAATGCCTGATCAGAACAATAGACAAAATAAAGTAGACTAACAGTAATTAATGAACAGATGAGAAAAAAAGAAAGAAACAATATGCCTGAAACAAAAGTTATAAGTGTGTCTTAATAAAAATCGCCGTTGAGCGAAATGAGCAGAGAGAATTTTGATCACGAATATGTGAAGGCAACAGATTATAATATTTAACAGCAGTATACGAGATGGAATTTCGAAATACTAACGTAATTGAATTCAAACACAGATTAAACCGCAATTCCATTTTGAAAATGCGACGATGTAGGTTGCCTCGCGAGCCATCGAGGACGACGACGCTAATCGACGATGCGAAATCGGCCGATTCCTATGCGAACCGTGCGGACTGACTGTGTGTCTATAAACAACGTAATAATGAACTTAATGTTACGCTGTGCATTACAAATCGTTTGATGAACGTTGATTATATGATTAATAAATGCGCGCGCGCAGAAATCATAGGAAAACTCGCGCGCGTTCGCAATAATACTACAAACTAAATTGTGGATACAACGTGATGATTATCGAATTTCTTCGTATCGCATATTGCGCATTATGTTATTAAACAATTATCACGACTAATATTTTTAGTTCGACTGTGTTATCTTTGAATTATTACGTTTATTTTTGCTAAACGTTATGAGTGTTTTATCGAAACGCACGACACGTACGAACATACGTATTTTCCATAGTGGAAATTTCCGAGCGGAAAGACAGAAATTGTTCTGTTTATTACAGGCATGATGGGGAAACATTCCGCCAAAAAATCGAACAAAAGAGAATAAGTTCATTTCTCCATTCCCCTCATCCGTCACACCCTCTTTATTCCTTATAGCCTCTCCAAGGCCACGAAGAACTCACGATACGAATAAACAACAAAGCAAATGGACATATAATTTCGACTACCAATAATTAATCTCAAATTTCTCGCGGGGACGTGTAATTACTCGATTAATTATTAGTTGTATGAATAATGAAAATTATGATAGAGTATATCAATTTCGTTAATTACACGTTATGTTATCAATAAACTGTGAACATCGACGAAAAGTCGATCTAATTATATGCTAATTAATTTTGATACGTGTGTCATCATCGATTTTGCCATGTCACTTGCGCTCGTGAGCCGACAAATTCTCTAATTTTCACGTCTGTGTCGATGAATATCGATACAGAGCGACAGTTAGTAGTCGCGCGTCGATCTTTCAGCGGCGGAAATCGTCGTTCGATATCAATCGTGGTTTCGAATTCACGGTTTTTTTTTTTTTTTGTTTTATCGCGATCGAGTTCGCGCGATAAAAAGTGGCGCGCGATGACGTTTTCCCGCGCGCTCGCGCAACGCTCGAAAAATAGGTTTGCCTTTTGCGAGCGGATTAAGTAACCCCGAGTAAATTGCTTTCTGGTGATAATTTCCGGCGACGGAAGGAAACGCGATGCACTGTGAAAAAGTATACGAGACACGAATCAATCATAGTCCGTGACTTACGGCGAGAATCGCATTTTGCCTGTACACCGCGAGGTCATTTCGCAACTTTCCCAGCCTTGGCTCTCGTATTGATCTCTCGGAAAAACTCTCTCAGAGGAAAGTTGATTCTGATGTCATTTAGCTTCGCGATACAAACAACATAGTAATCATTGCGGTTGATCGCAATTGACGATCCGATAAATTTGGAGTGAAAGAAAATTAATTAATATCGCAATTGTGAATAATTATATGGTGTGTGTATCGCGCAGGTTTCCGGTCATCCACGTAACAACTTGATGACGGATAATACGTTCCTAAGCGTGGAGCGATTGGAGGACGATGAGGTTTGGGTGTCAGTAGCGACGGACGCCGATTGGAACACCAAGTACGTACACGCGCCACGTTATCGCAAAATTATTTTGACACTTGACAAGAATAATTCCAAAAACTGTTGAACAAAAGAAAGAAAAAAATATATATTTAGTACAGACGTTTTTGTACTTTTGTTATACTTTTAGATTTGAATGGACGAGAACGTCTGTGGTACTAGGATCGAGTGAGGTGACCGTCACGTGGCAGGTTCCGCAGGATGTGTTGCCGGGCACATATCGTCTCAGACATAACGGATATTATCGCTACATCCTCGGTGGCGTGTATCCTTACTACGGCGTTTCCAATAGTTTCCAAGTGAGTTCTAATCTCGCGCGTACATTTGCGAAGCACTTGGAATATATACTCGGTGCATTATCGTAAAATTCAATCATTCGACAACCGTTGTAACTGCGAAAACGTACTGAACTTACTGTGTTTGCTTTTCTTTTTACAGGTGGTAGTTCCTGCACTGAATATCCGTAGACGTTACTATGGATAATTGCTTGATGTTTCTCTCGCGTGCCTTTCTTAGACGATAAGAAAATCATTACGCTTAATTTCTGACGACTGAGTCGATCCCTTATTGTAAACAAATGTTAATCACAAGCCGGGAAATTTACAAAAAGAATTATGTAAATTTATACGTAAAATATAAATTTGCATAATATATATTCGCGTGTATATGTGGCTGAAATTGTTCTTATTAATCGTGTGATATGTACATTTGTTTGTTGTGTAAATTACGCACTTTTTTATAACATGCCGTGTAAATAGACAAATTCTGCTCGAGACAAGTAGAAATAAGCTATGTATAAATAAGAAATTATGGGAAAATCTTTACACATATACACAAATGCACATACAAGCCAAACTGTGTTCTCTGAACAAATATCTTTTTTTCGCATTTGTGTCGCGTTACACCAGTTTTGTTAAGATACGATGCGTGAGATTATTTCCGAGCTTGATGTAAAACAAAAGAATTTTTACTGAAGCGTACAAACATTTTATCCATTAAGCTATAAATAAATTTAGATAGAAATAAATTTCTACGTTACAAACACGCCGTTTACGAAATTTTGCTTCTTTACTCAAGCATATTTACAACGCAGAAACATTTTTCAAAGCACGGAGAGTTTAGAGAATTGAGAGACGTTGGGAAAATATTGTGAGAATCATCTGAAAGAGAAGTTTACGAATTTTCAAAAAGTTCAATTTAAATTCGGTAAAATCGGTCACGATGTCTCGCGGAATTTTGCTTTAGAAATTCAGAGGGAAAACATCTCCTCTCTCGCGCGCAGAGACATATTCAACCATTATGTTGAAAATTATTTTTGCGATCGAATTTATTTATACGGAGATCCCTCGTAAAAAGAACCGATAGAGAGAAATATATTTGATATCTGAAGTTCCAGGTTTGTATACGCGTTAGTCAACAATAGAGTAATGTAATATTATTCCGTTTGTCAGCTGTGATTACGTGATGTAATTCTGTTGTATTGTATTGCAACAATATTACAGTAGCAAATATGGTTGCATTTGGCGTAAATTTATCGTATTATTCTTATTGCATTATATGTTTCCTTTATCACCGATCCGATATAATTATCGGATATCGCAGAGTATTTCTCTATTCTATTGTAGAGTATTTCTCTAAAGTACATTTTCATCTTCAAAGATGAGACGAAAACAGATAATGTTTTCTTGACTAATGATGTAACCAATTGCAGAAAGGGGAGAAAGACGGAGAGAGAAAGAGAGAGAGAGAGAGAGAGAGAGAAATCTACGCGAAAGAGAATTCCACCGAGACATTCTGATTATCGAACGGTTAACGAGCGGAGTTTCTGCAGTTTAAGTCCAATCAGTACGTTACGCAATTAATTGGACGCTTTAGCTTTCACATTCCGCGGTTTAGCGGCATTACTAATTGCAATTGCCGTGTTTATATAGACAGTTATATAGACAAATATAATAAATTGAGAAAGTTCGTGCAAAGATATCGACCGCTGTTCCCGATAAGTTAATTAGAAGACGCGTGTTTGCGGACGAGACAGTTTTTTCTTGCTTTCAGACTGCTCTCGATAATATCGTACAGAATATACATATAGTATCAAACGATAGATATCGAAGGGGCACGTAAAACGTTTTGTTTGTTATTTATCGCCGGTCCGTTAATGCGCTAGTTACTTTGTACTTTGCCGTTGCAAAGAAAATTACTCGACAATGTACACGCGCGTTTTATCGAGCACTTGAAATAATAATGACATTTTCTCGGACGATCTCGAATAGCATTCGCAATATTACATGCCAAGCAATGTGTTGGGGGCGTTGGAACACGATATCGTGTCGAGATACTTTTCTATCGCGCGGGATGATATCGCGCGAACGTGTGTTCTCGCGCAACAAATTGGAATATCGCGTCTATTTCATATTCACAATTTTCATATAAATTAAAAATTATTAACATCAGCGAGCCGCCAAATCGGACCTGCATTTGTCTGTATATAAGATATATCAGAGAGAAAAGTCGAGCTTTCGATGCTTCAAAAGAAATTCTTGAACGTAAATCATCGTTTCCCTCGTTCCTCAGGATTTTTCTCGAATAATCGGATTCTCGGCGAAGGAAAACGACTGCTTTTTTTATATGTTAAAAAAAGAATATGTGATGTCGACGATATCTGCGACTGACGTTTTTTTCATAAACAAATAATTTTTCTTTTCTTATTTGCATTATGTATATGCGAGTACAGATTTTCTTGCAAACCGTCTGTTCGTCTTTTTGCTATTACTAGCACAACACAAGCGCGCGCTACGCGCACGCTATTATTGCTGTTATTTTACCGTGTAGTGTCAGTGAACTTAACCTGTCACCGCAATGACAACTGGTATATACCAGCTTCAGACCAGATTCAGACAAACAATATAATATACATGATGTATAAGAGATGTCAGAAATAACGCATAAAAATCAAACTCGAAAAATAAAAGAAAGAGAAGAATGGAAAAACAACACAAGGAAAGGAGTAAAAAAGAGAATATTATATATATTATATATAATATTCTATATCCATATATAATACACACATACACACACATATATATATATATATATATATATATACCGTAATCACGTGACTAAAGTCAGCGACCTCGCTAAGATCGTGCGGCCGAGATCAGCGACCCCTCCCCACCAAGGCCGCGCGCCCGAGATCAATGCCCCGCCAAGGCCGCGCGGCCGAGGTCAATGCCCCGCCAAGGCCGCGCGGCCGAGGTCAATGACCCCGTCAAGGCCGCGCGCCCGAGGTCAATGCCCCGCCAAGGCCGCGCGCCCGAGGTCAGTGACCCCGCCAATGTAGCGCGGCGGAGGTCAGTGACATTACTGTAGTATGTATATAATATATATAATACATATAATACAATATAAAGTATAATATTATAAATATATAAATTATATGTATAATATGTATTATTTAATGTTATATATAATATAAATTACAATCACGTTATTTTCACGTGTTGTTTTTCTACTCTTTCCTGTCACGTGACTTTAGTTACGTTTTTAATTTTCTCTACATATACGACGAACTGTCTCAAGATCGCTTTTCATTATTTACTCTCTCGATCTTACCGATTCGATTCGACTCGATCAACCAACCAACCAATTGGCAACGCGGAAAAGAGGCAATAATAGATGCGATACATTCGGCTCCAAAACGCGCACTTCTCGATCCAAATGACTTTTTTTATATAGGATATTGCGCGACTTACATCTTAGATCGCGGTATTGGATATTAAAGAATAATAAATGAGACGAGCCGAAACGACGTTTTTTTTGAGATGATATACGCAACAAACGCCGTGTGTATGTAAACAACTGCGATATCAGCTTGTGTATAAAGTAACGTGCGAAAATTTGTGATTCGCCTAAATAATCACTCAGCGACATGCAACTCGAAGGTCTGCCAATCTAAACGTCACGCGCCATTACGCGCTATTGCGCGCGATTAATTTCGCGTCCGACAAGTCGTGTCTACTGAGAGGTGCATCGACACGATAATCAATTTTCGACGAGGATAACAGTCGCGGCACGGCTCGTGAAGGTTAAAGTCGCGGTAAACGACCGACGTTTCAGAGCAAGAAACTGTTCTGACAAATGAGGAAAGTAATTGGTTATTCGCGAAATCACGACAGCGATAAAAGTGGGAAACGTCGAAAATAGACGAAATAAACCGCAATGGCTTGATGGAACGGCAATGTGTATTCAATCCCTTAAAAGCGCCAAATTGAATGTCATCCGAGTCGACGAAAATGGTCATGTTGCATTACGTGCTGATGGTAGATCTCGATGGTACAACTCTCAACATTATCATCGTGAATCGTGAGAACATCGGCGGAAAATACGATGCTGTTCACATTTTTGTTTTGATAACGTTATCGTTCTCGAGACAAGTCGACGTAAACTTCGTGACGTTGTTATCGGAATAAGATCGAGAATGATAATCCATCTCGACGTCGTAATAATGAAGTTTGATAACTCAATTATGTTCGCGATTTTATTTGACGGCCGAATATATATATAATGTCAATATTTAACAACGACCTCACGTTCGTTTGAAGAATTTTCGCGTTAATTTTATACGCGAAATGTGTTTTTTGAGAAAATAAAATAAAATAAATAATTTACAGTTTTGCACGCGCGTGAAACAAACGCGCTGCGCATTATAGTTCGCTTGTTTTTTACGCGCGATTTGAATTTGCCATCGTCACGACTTATGTATGCGGGTTTTTTACACAATGAAGCACCTGGACGGAAGTGGCACGCGATAAATGGAACACTTCCTAGTTGCTTTCTTGACCATTAGATAATTGCACGTAGAGTATTTCTCAACAAGTTTTTAGTGGTATGATTAAATCTTCTCTTTCTTTGTGGTTGCGAGTAAATCTTGAGATTAGTTTCAAGCTTTAATTATTTTGAAAATATAATGACTGCATTCTGTCTTGTTTAATTAAATATTTTATATTGAAAAATGTAAATAGACAAAGAGACATAGAGACATATTTGACAAATAACAACATTAAGTCAGATTAAATGTTGCGACATTTAATGAACCTGCAAAAGAGAAAAGATGCAAATTAAAACGAGAAAAAATGCAGCAAGTCGGTAATTAATTGACGTCATTAACTGCGTCTAATTTGCAATGATTTGAGAAGAAAAAATTTCTAGAAAAAGTCATTAAGGCAACAAAGTAATTTTTTCTTTTCTTGAAGAAATTGCTATAAATATCCGTAGAAATTGTACTACTTTAATTTTAAAATTTATTTTGACAAATGTCAAATATATTAATGATTTCAAACAAATGATCGCTCTTCTCGTCGTTCGAGAAGTTTGTTTCAACGACTAAAATATGCGAAAAGTGAGTTTAAAGGGCATCTACTTTTCTCACACTTTGAATATGATAAAAACTTCGCGGTTAAAACGATATTCTGTTTCCATCCAATCAGAAGCTCAAAGTTCACGTAGCTGCATTACATATTCTATTTAAGATCTTCATGCTCTTCGAGCTGAATTATAGATACATGCGTGATAAAAAGTGGAACGCTAAGTAAGAAGAAAAAATGGGGAGCAACCTTTTTAGGTTGTTGTATAAATGTATAGATATCGCCTGATCTATGAGAGAAAAGGTGAAGACGACCGAGCATACTTGTTAGGATATCTCGGTTGCAAATAAAGATCGTCATAAAACATGACCGTGCTCGAATCGCACAAGCGCGCAGAACTCGCGTGAAGAAATCAGTCTGACCGTATATATGATGATAAAAAAGAAAAAAAATTGGAATAAACCGGAGATTTTGCCTTCGATCCGGAGAGCTGTCGGCAGAAAAAGAGTATGTAAAAAACCGGGAAATCCTGGCGAGATTCGAGAGAAGAGAGAAACACATCGGCGCGCCAGCGCTGAACCTGCCAGATGGACGGACTGCCGGCGTCCTTTGGCGCGTCGTGGCGACGACGGCAGTTGTGATTCGGCCGGCGCTCGTGTCGGTGCACGAGTCAAGCAGTATATCGCTCTTCGTGGTCTGAACCGAAACAAAACAAACCGCGAAACCAGAGTAGTTTTCCAAAGTGGAGGCTTTTTACCACGTGTGTCAGTTGCCTGACACACACAAGGATCCCCAAAAACGCTTTGCGTAGATCTTCAAAAATTAAAAAAGCAAAAAAAGACACTCAAATTTGATAAAAAGCTGCGTGTGATGACGGTCTGTTTTTGTTTCTTTGAGAAACGCTTTGGGACGTTTTGAGTTACGTGTATAGGTACGCAATTCGAGTCTGAGTGTGTAAGTCTGTAACAAAATTAGTGTTACAACGAGTTATATTGCACGAAAAGGTCCTACAACTGATGGGAAAAATGATCAAATTTATATGTGACCTTCGACGCGCGTACCTTTAGGAGATTGACTCTAGAATTTAATCAACAGAGAAATCAAGTTTCGCTCGCTTGATATTTTCTTAAGGGTATTTTCTTAAGAGAAAGATCAATTTTTTCCACGAAGACAGAAGAAAACAAGGGAAATTGGAACAACTTAACCGAAGAAAAGAAGAAGAAAAAGAATTTAACCCTGCTTGCACCAAATGAAAACTCCATTAACTCCGATCGACTATCAACGAAACAGAAAGGACGCTCCAATTTCGCCACAAACTATCGGAAAAGAGCCAGCTGTGCCGCGTTTGTCGTGATTCTCACAGAATGTCAAAGAACTTTCGGAGTGATCGGGAACTACTTTTCGAGCATCGTTCGAAGTGAGCGAAAGAAATCGCAATGACATCCACCGTAGCGTCGATCCTGTCGTCGAACAGCACAGCCTACTCCGACATCCTCTACAATGACATCTCGTCATCCTCCGGATTCGAGCACTTCAACAACACCTATGCGGACGAGATCGAGTTGTCGCCCGGCTCGTACCGCGACTCGCTCTACGTGGTGATACCGGTGACGATAATTTACGCGTCGGTTTTTATCACGGGCATTGTCGGCAACGTCAGCACGTGTATCGTGATCGCACGCAACAAGTCCATGCACACAGCCACCAACTATTATCTCTTCAGCCTAGCGGTGTCCGACCTGTTGCTGCTGGTGTCAGGCCTGCCGGCTGAGATGTACATGGTCTGGTGCAAGTATCCGTACATCTTCGGCGAGGGCTTCTGCGTGTTGCGCGGCCTCGCGTCGGAGACGTCGACGAACGCGTCGGTCCTCACAATAGCCGCGTTCACCGTCGAGAGATACGTCGCGATCTGCCATCCGTTCCTCTCGCAGACCCTGTCCAACTTGTCGCGCGCGATTAAGTTGATCCTCGTCATCTGGCTGGTGGCACTGGGATTTGCGTTGCCGCAGGCACTGCAGTTCGGCGTGGTTAGACACAGCAGGCACCCCGACATAGTGATGTGTACAGTGAAGAGAATCATTGTCAATCACTCCTTCGAGCTGTCCACATTCCTATTCTTCGTGATACCGATGTGCCTGATCACGTTCCTCTACGTGCTGATTGGCCTTAAGCTCAGAAAATCAAACATGATGAAGCCCGTGCCGGGCAGAAACGAATCGATGAAGAATTGCAGACACCAGCCGGGAAGATCGTCCAGGAGGGTGTTGAAGATGCTAGGTGAGTGTGTTACGTAAGATCTCGTTTTTGTTTGTGACTTAAACAGCTTATCTCTGATCTATTTATGTATTCTGTAAATGCAGTTACATATATTGATAAATAAAGAAAAAGAGAGAGAGAGAGAGGAAGAGAAAAAGAGAAAGATTGTTGAGACAAACAGATTTATTTTAAGATTAAAAAGAATGCAATGAGACAGTTGTTTTTACGCAGTTGTATTTATTTATTGATATACAATTTACGCGATAAAAAAATAGCCATTATAATCGACGTTTTTAAATTACTTTAATTTTAAATGTAAATACGCTTAAACAATTCAGCAGAATGTGAATATTTATCGCGTTAGTACAACCGTGGTACGTAATGATCGCACAATTACTCTTGAAAATGCGCTTTACTGCCTCATCATGATGCATGTCACTATGACACGATAAAAGCGTGTACATAATTAAACGGGTGACATTGATTTGGGTGAAACAATAAACTGTTACTATTACAATTTTCATGTACATTAAATTAAGACAATGTACAAAGTATTTGGAATAATTTTAATATAATCTTACAATATTTAAAATATTTTAAAAACTATTTTCAATATAATGTTTAAAAAACTGTACTATATATTTTACTTGTTACTTACAGATGTTGTCTATAAATACTGTTTATAATACAAGGATAGTTGCAAAGAATTGCAGAGTCGTCAATTGACTGTAAATGATTTCGACGGATAACAAAATAAATTTTCCGATAAAATTAATATATACATTTCAATAGGACATCATCGTTAGAAAAAGTGTCAGAAAGTGAAGATTTGCTAAAGGATTTACCTATATATGAGTGTTTTATTCAGTGTTGCAGATTTCGCAAAACCACCGCTGAAATTTCCGTCTTCCGTTGAGAATATCAATAAATTCTCAAGTTTACGTTGAATTATTCAACGTCACTACAAATGCCGCACAATTAACATTAAGTGTCAAGGAAGCATGTATATGTAAGACTTTTCTGTGTAACGCAGTATGCGAAATTGTCATTTGTGTCAGTTTTATGTAACAATGCCTTAGATATATGTGCTATTCACATATTTCAATGAAATGAAATTTCGACGTGCGACACGTAACTGCGAAATTTCCAGTTCTATTCTCGAATTTTCGTGACTTCGTCAAGCGAATTCGTGTTAAATATGCACACACATGTTCTTCCATACTCGATTGTTATAAAACAACATTAACTCGGGTCAAATATAGAGAGGCGTCCGATTTTGTTCACGTTTCACGCGTTAATGGTTGTTTTACACGGATCGAATAAATGTGGAAAAATCGGCTGCGTGCGCAGAAAGCTTTTCGCGACTATTTGCTTGGTTTTCGACAATATGTTTTCTATGTATGTAGGTAAACAAAAAGCGCCCGAAGTTATTTTGCGCAGCGCGCACATATTTACGTGTTATTTCATATTGTGTCACTTCCTCAGACAAACAGATCACAGCCAGCATCTCTGTGTGCGTATCGATCGAATGTGCAAGCTCGAAATGAGAACTCATTAGGTCAGTTATTCTTGCGCGATGTTACGTGCCGGATAGCCACGTAATAAGATAAAAGAAATATGCAGGATACTTTCTGTGAGGTGCTTTATTGGTTAATATGTGAGAGGTGTTGCTCGTCTGAGCTGCGAACGAGAACTGCCTTGTCTTAACTAAAAACGTGCGAGCTAGACCTTCGTTCGNTGTTGTGCGTGTACTTGGCGCCTGTTTTTACCTTTTTTTAAAAAGGTAAGTTTTTAGAGTATCACACACTTTATATTTTGTTCCTTAGAGTATCACACACTTTATATTTTAAGTTTTCTTTAGTTTCTCTAAAAAAAGAATATAAACATTTGTAGTTTTTAAATACAATACGTGTTGTGCTATATATGACACGACTGAATTTATTTTAGTTTCAGAGACAATACATGGAATCTACATTATTGTAATTTGATCGTACGTATTCGAATTTCCTATGTATGTTAGTAAACCTAATAGTTGATTGACAATTTCACGTGACACCTACAAGAGACTTCTCGATAACGATCCGTCTGGAACACTAGACGACGGTTTTTTGTATCTTTTATTTATTATGCACATACATTTTTGGACAGACAATAATGTCGCAGACTACTGAGGTCAAAAACACTTCTATTGTATTATTGTTTTGTCAAGACGATGCTCGATTGACAAAATGTTTTTGTAACAATACGCATTATATAATATTCGCGTTTATTATATAGTATTGATAAGCATTTACTAAAACGTGTTTACTTGTTAAACACATTATTTAAAAAAATCTTAAATTTTCTTATCGCGAATAAAAAATTATTACTCTTTCTAATTACGCACATCTACACGCGCAGTTTTTTTGCTGTATTTTATACCTTTGCGTTGCAATATAAGAGAAAATTAATGATCAATTAACGCGATTACCTCCAAGAAATAATGGCGATTTACGATCCGCTATCTTATCTGCCACAATAACAAAGTTGCGTTTCTCTGAGTCCGAGATACAATGCGTTGAAATAGACGTCGTCTTTGAAGTCGATTGCGCGTAATCGAATGCAAAGACATTTCGCCGAATAAAAGATCCGTTTCGACAGATCGGTAAGATGCATCTATTTGCACATAACTTGATTTGATGACGCGCAGCGACGTGTAAAGCATGTCGAATTGAATTTTAGAATGCAAGTGTTGTAGTTTATCTAATATCGTCGCGCCGACATCGAGCGCGGATACAATTAAATTTCGCATCCTGTTCACGGTTCACGTTTTATTCCTCCTACAGTATTCCACTTGTGAAAATCCTCTTTCAATTGTTTTCTACAAAAATTCGAAACAATTTATTTGTCATTCCGCGGGCCTTGTATCGATTTAATGAGAGATTTTTAATTTAAAAGAAGTCTTTTCCGCGTTTCTTTTTTTATTCGAATCGAACAATTTCAGTCTAAAGTTCGACTTTTCGAACCGTTCAATCGTCAGAGAAAATTCTCCGCAGTATCCATCATTCACACACACGACGCAATTACTTCCCTTTAATTTCGCACATTTCAATCATTCTAAACTTTTTTCTGTCTGGGTGTGAATAAATAAAGTAATCAACATGAAGGATTCACTGTAATCATACGTGAATAACGTGAAAAATACGTCGCCGTCGTGCACACATAACGATCCGGCCGTTGAGACCAAATTTAATTTCTCTTTTACTGCCACGTGAATTGTAGAAACCAGCGATTCGATGAAAACTGCATCAACTTCCCACTGAAAATTAAAGCGATATCAGCCCCCGCAAAACGTGCATTGAAACAAATGCGAACAATCTAATTATTACACGTGAAATATCCTGTACAGATGCGAAATTTTTCAACTGCGATTTATCTGGCAATTAACTTTCAAAAGAATATTGAAAAGAAGATACGTGTAAAAAGTCGTTTTCAATTTTTTTCTATTATTGACGCTGTGTATCTTAATAATTACACAAAAAGCAACTTTTTCCAAATATTTCACGCACGTATAAAATTTTTCCGCTATGCTTTGATAAATGTTATCCGTAATACAACAAATTACCGATACACGAGCAAAGGCGGGTTGTCTATTACACAACCTTGAACGCGCATAACACCCGCCATTAGACGCCAGAATAATGTAACAGGACTGTCGCCCTATAATTTATCGTTTATCATCCGATTGCAAAAGATGAGACATTGGGTCGGCAAAAACGGTCAATTTGCAATTATCGAATAAAGACACACGCTGAGACCGGAGAGAGAAAGAGCAATTTGAGCTTTTGTCAATAGAACACCGAAACGTTTTCACGTACCTTAATTAACCTTCCCATTTTGCTCCGCCGTTGCGTGAAGGGCTTCTTTCCTCGCGTCATGGACACAATAAAAGTTAACGCTCATGAATCCAATTAGAACGCGCGAATAAAACCTAATTACATCAATTATATTCGTCATGTACTATCAATTCTCAAAAAAAGTGTGTGTGTGTGTGTGTGTATAAAAATAATAAGAGAAATACGCACGCACGCGCGCGCGCGCAAACTCGCGGCTTTCAATTTTTTTTTTGTTTTGTTTTGTTTTCGAGCTCTCTCTTCATCAAATTCTATATTAATTCAAATTCAATCGCGCTCGAGAAATACTACAGGTACAGGCAATAACAATTATCGGAAAGTTCACGTAGTGGGAATAATCGCGCGAATGATCGATGGGAATGCATCCGTAGAGCGGGTGGGTTACATTGAAGCAAAGATATACAAATGCCTCCTTGTGCACCGTGTCCAACACTGATAATTTTATCATCTACGTGATCGCAAATGCACACGCTTCTTTAGTGGCGGTGTTTGATGATAAACTATAAATAAATGAACAAACGATTATAGGGTGATACGTCGATATCGATTTTCAGTTGTTTCAGGATTGTTCTAATTAACAGGGTGAAATGTGTGAATTAAACAGTTTGCCGATGAAACGGTCGATGGACAAAACCGTCAGCACACACAATGACTTGTTTGTAGAACTTTCGATGTTGCTTTATGACCGCATAATGAGCGCTCACGCGCGGAGAAACACTTACATTTGATTGTAGACTTTTAATTAAACTTTTTTATTTGAATTGTTTTTCTTGACGGAATCGATTACCTGGCGGGCTCGACTTACACAGTCGTGTCAAAATAATAATAACATAATTTACTTATCCGATCGTCAATTCAGCAACGTGTTAAATTATCTTTTACGATTGGCTAATAAATGTTTAAAACAATGTGAATGAAATCGATTTATACATCTGTTGTGTAACATTTCTTTGAAGACACGCGACGGTAATATTTGATAATAAATCTTTATTAAAGGACTATTTATTACTACAGGAATGGATCGTCTGTTGCAGTCTAATCGGGAGTGAACATTATGCAAGCAAAACATTATTGCAAATGCAAGGGATATATTATTTGAATCGTCGCCGAATATTTCACGGGCGTCTGAATATTCCACGCGTCTTTGCGCTTTTCGCACTCTGTCAACCGTACTTGAAAAAGATAACACGATAGTGCTGTCAAAAAAAAAGACAAATCTTTTCTTAGAAATCTTTTCTTAAGAATAATTCGTAGTTGATTTCCGCTCTTGAAAAGGACAAAAAGTGACATCGAGAAAGGAAAAGATTATCCGCACAGCTGTGAAAACAGGAGGGAAACTTCTGTAAAAAATAAGCTACGAATGTTTTTCTACGATATCTTAGCCAAGGAAAACAAAATCCTCTTTTAATGATTTAAGTATATCAGTTTTGCTCTCGCTTTCTTCACGTGAAATAGTTATTTTCACTTTTAAACAAGAGCAATCTTACAAATTTTATATATATATACATTTTATATATATATATAAGCTGAAGGTTAAAATATAATAAATTGCATTTTTTATATCCTCTTATCAGCGAACAGCAATATAATCGTAAACTTTTTATAATTGCGGCACATTATTAGCATGTGTAATGACACATTGTATTTTATATCTCATTATGTGACTTCCTGCGTTTATATTTATTTACCAATCACCAATAATATTCAGTAAATTAACTTACTGTATGAAAGTACCGCAGAAACGAATTAAAAGTGAAATCTCATCGTGAGAGGCAGAAACAAAACTGTCGCGACTCATTTCTCGCCAAGTTGCCCAAAATAAAAGCACAACATGTGATAACGCGGTATGATGACAGGCTGGAAATTATTTGGGCGGAGAGACGAAGAAGAAGATGGATAGATGCGGATTATTTGAGCAAATCTCTCACTGTGCCTCGCAGTGCCTTCGTCACAGACGGTTTGTTTCTCGTTATGGATTTTCTCGGGCTGTAGTTTTTTTTTTTTTATTATTATCCCTCGTGCGGCATAGATTGCACGTAATAAAAGACCGCGCATATTCCTACGGCGCGATCGGTCGATCATATAACGAACCGTTATTATTATTTCACGCGGTGACATAAATCGCACGTGTCGGAGATTATTAATCTCTTTCAAAACCGGAAAAAGATTTACCGCGATGGTCACGATTAACCTTGATAACGATAAAAATTACGATAAAGTTGTTAAAAATAAATTAAAAATTACACGACACGACATATAAAGCATTTTACAATGTGCGATAAATAAATCGATGAGACACGTCGCGTCGTCTTCAATTATTTCGTTACATCATATGAATCACTTAATTATTTTATTCCAGTGGTAATAATAATATAATAAACATCCTCATACGTGGAAAACTACTGCTTATCCGTTTATCTATCGTAAATGACGCTTTTTTATATTAAAACGCTCGCTTGTCATGCATTGACTCAATCAACGGCAGTTCATCGCATTCGCTTATGAATAACAATGCGCGAATATATATTCCTCTACAAATTTTTCCACAGTCGCGTTCAATTTGTTCTCGCATCAATTACATTCGTAACGGTACAAAACAATCTACTGTGTTTTAAACATTTTCACAAAAGTGAAAATAATACGATTTATTGTTTTTTATATGATTTTCTTATTTATTTTCACTGTGTATTATATATTTGCAGATTTTCCAAATATCCAATATTGTTTCTTACACTCTGAATCAATTACTCATAAAGAACTCGTTCTTCCGTTAAAGCACGTCCAATCAATTTCACGCTATAAATATGCAAATTATTCAGCTATCCTTATCGCATGTGTCTCGCTTTAGTTCTCTCTACTTTACGTTCGCACGCAAATTTCGATTGCGACTAAAAGCTGTTGCGAAAATTAGTTTTGCAAAACAAAAAGTTAAAACAAGTTATAAAAGTTATCCCTATAAAACAGAAATAGCGCCAAAAGTTCTCGTCGTGATATTCGCGGCCTCGCGACACATTGTCTCTAAGGTTCATCGACAGACACATCCGCTGCGCAGCTTCCCCGGACTTTAATGCAGCTCAATTGCATTCGCGTTGTGTTGACAACGTAAGCTGTATCTACACACAAGTTTAATAAACTCAGCTGTTTGGCACACATGTTTCCTCGCGCCGTTACTACAAGTGTCGAACTTCGTACCAACTTCTACTTGCGATAAGATCGTATCTACGTCTGAATCTCACGGCAGAAATAATCGATTCCCGAGACAAAAACACAAGAGCGCGCATTAATCAAGAAGAATCGTGTGATATCGTCCAAACGACGCGACGCGGAAACATTTGTCACACGTCCAACGCCTCTTCGTTTTTCTGGCAAAGACACGACATTCGCGTGCTAGTGAATAAAATTGATAGATACTACGTACGTACATACACACACGTACATGTGCATGACGCGGCGTATACATCTTCCTCTTCCTGTTTGATAAAAAATCTGAGATCGACGATATCTGAAACCTAGAGATTATTATACATTCATTATTTTTTATACATATTGTAATTTTGTTGCTATAAAGTATTTTTTAATGTTTGTTTTGTTCCTTGATTATTTCTTTTGTGAAACACGTAGCGGCATATAACATTTCTTTGACGAAACCAGAAAATTACGGACATGATGAAAACTTGTATATTATTTTAATTACACGTGATTGCTTATATCTGAAGTGGACGTTGAGTGCATTTAATTAGAGTACAATAACGTCCGGTCATAATGATTGCGTGTGAGCAACATACCCGTTGTATATAAAGAGTATATTTTATGTAGTGAAGAAGAATTTAAAGTTTTCGAAGTGCAATTTGCAATGTAAAGTAAGTAAATGGAGGAAGTCTAGAAAGAGTATTATTTTCTCCAGTGTTATTTTGTTAATTTTGTCATGTGCGATATTTGATGACTTCAATTGCCGTATATTTTTGTCAATGTTGCTTTGTAACAATTTTTCAAATTTTTAAAGTTTTTTTTCTATATTATAGAAATATTTTTCAAGCTTTTTTTCTATATTATGTAAATTATATTGTATAAACTTACATATTATTTTTATTACAAAAAAACTATATGCGTTTTTTGTAGAATCTGGATATTTTGCTTTTGAGAGAGGAATATTGCAGTGTGAAACAAAATACAAAAACTGGATATAAATTAATTGAAAATTAAACATTGTAAACTGAAAATGCGAAACACTAAATAAATCCAATTTATAATATAATAAAATAACGAATCAATTATAAATAATTAGCAATTAAACGCGATACTATGTAAGATATCATACTCGTAAAATTTTGATAAGATAAAAATTTTCTCAACTACGTACGTAAAGTTTTTTTGTTAATTATTTAGAAATATTTAAATGTTGTATGGCATTTGCGGAGAGAACAAATGTATTTAGGTCGCTCCATAAAATTGCTCTTGCCATTAATACGATGGAAAATGCACCGTTTAATCTGTGACAGGCTTTAATAACGACGTACCTATAAAGTGCCACGTTGTGGTCTCTTTCCTCTTTTTTCTTCTTTTCTCTCCCTCTCTCTTTCTCTCTCTCTCTCTTTTTCTGGATAATTTCTGCGTTTCGTGCTTGATTAACAGTCGTTTCAAATTTTATTATAATATTATAATATGCGCAATTGCATTATAATATTAATTAATGCAAGTAAATATTAATTCTGCTGATCTATTTTCGCTCTACTATAACTTTGTATCTCGATACGTTAAGCTCTCGGATCATCCAGAAAGATTAACGCCCGTTTTCTCCATCTCCGATTAATTTAATCGGCCGATCATTCTATTGGAATTGTCAGTCGCATTAATCGTTTAGCAGAATGAACCAATCACGACTGATACTTAATTGCCAATTAAGTTAATCGGAAATGGTGAAAACGGGTGTTAATCTTTCTGGATGATCCGAGAGCTTAACGTATCAAGATACAAAGTTATAGTCGATCGAGAATAGACCAGCAGAATTTATATTTACCTGCATTAATATTGTAATGCAATTGCGCATATTATAATATTGTAATAAAATTTAAAACGACTAAAAACACTTAATAAAGCACAAAACGCAGAAATTATCCAGAAAAAGAGAGAGGGAGAGAAAAAAAGAAAAAAAGGAGGAAAGAGAGACCGTAACCGTGTTCGAATCAATCGTGTGTAAGACTGTTTATTTGCATTTTCTGTCGTGAGTAAAACTTATTCACAATATTTTTGATTCGTTTCTACGTGTTATGCGAAGCAACTAATAGATTTTAGACGTTTCAATGTCTTCATGTCGACCGTGACCGTTGATTTGACGCATTATTAATCTCCGTTTGACGTCTGCTTGATTGCGCGCATTTCTATAAAATCATTGAGAATCGCAAGTGCGTTTTTTATTGATGTTCACGCTTTATTGACCTTATCGTACCTCGGAATGATAACTCATTACGAGAACGCGCATGTTACTCAAGTAAACGAAGATATAAAAGAAAAATCGAGATAAATAGATAACGTCACATTTGTTTAACAAATGCGACATATGTTTGTTAATTTTACAAACAAATATACTTAAAAAAAAAATTGAGAGAGACAAATGTATCATGTGCGTCAGTTTAAAGAATACAAAATGCACATTTGTTAATTACTTTTACAAATTGTGTTACAGTCGCAGTCGTAATAGCATTTTGCATTTGCTGGGCTCCATTTCATATTCAACGATTGATTGCCATATACGGAACTAACACAGAAGATCATATCACATCAAACGGCCCGTGGATGGAGTTTCTTTATCTGCTGTTCACCTACGTGTCAGGAGTATTATATTACGTGTCCACAACGATTAACCCAATTCTCTACAATATTATGTCGAATAAATTTCGCATGGCATTTATGGTAAGCGAAACTGAATTCCGAAAATTGCAATTATTTTCGCACCTCAAGTATTTTTACGCGTGATCTAACTTCTCTTTTGTTTGAAATTACATTTACAATAATTGTAAAATATTAAATTACTGTAACAACAAAGACTATTTTATATGATATATTAGTAACAAAGATTATATATTTTATAATATTATATAACACAAATTCTATCTATAACAGTGTTAATATATTTTCGAATTGTGTAACAAAGACTATTTTATAATATTGTATTACAATTTGATATTTGAAATTTTCGCGGTGTATAAGAATGTCTAAAAATAGTTTTTGAGTTTGAGCCGCGTCAGTGTCATTTTTATACCGACGTTTTATGGACATTTCAGTTCACTTCATCAGAATTCAAGAGCAGCTTGATAGTATCAAAACTGAAATGTCCACGTCGGTATAAAAATAACATTTACGGGATAAACCCGACAAACATCTTTCGGAATTGTGAACAACAAGTTTATCTATAACAGTGTTAGAATAAATCTCCAAGTCGTACAAAATTTCTCTTTAAATAAATCATTATTTCTCGTTATATTTGTTATTGAGATAGAGAAAACGATTATGTTTGTTATTTACAGCGAGCCAATCTATTCCAATCTGTTTCAGGAGACATTATCAAAGAGCTGCAGATTTCCTGGACTGCCGGAGCGTCACGAGCAACGATCCTACTCGAGCATATCTCGATCCCATCGGACCAACGGTGCATACGGTTCACGTACAGGAGGAACTGGCGGAGGATCAGGCGTGATGGCGGATAGCACGGAGGGTTCTGGAAATTCCGCGGAACAGGAGGTTCAAAGGCATCCCATGAGCAATTCAGAGAAGCAAACGAGATCCTTTGGCAACAGAACAAATTCAGTGCGCAAAGAAACCGCCAAAGAAACGAGAAATAACAATATTTCGAACAACTTGCGACTGCCAACTCATGAACATCGCAGACAGGAGAGTAAACGCGGAAAAGATCGATTGAATCGCAGAAATCAGGATGTTCCGTGGTCGAAAACGACGAGATACACGAGTGTGCACATTCCGAACGTCGACACTTCCGAGAAGAAGTGGTGGAGGTTCCTGAAGTGGCTGCCCGGTTTGAAAAATTTCAAGTTTTCCAGATCGACCGTACCCGAGGATCACGTTGCGGACGAATCCGGAAATCCTTGCGAGGAGCTTTCCATGACGTTGTTCATCACGAACATACGCGACGACAACGAGCAACGACCGGTGTGAGAAGGACGGAGCTACCTACTTGAGACTACAACAAAACAGACACTTCTGCATTTATTGACGCGCGCTCTGTCGTCGCAAAATCGTTCCTTGTCGGGAAAAAAAAAAAAAAAACGATACTGTATGCTTGTTGATCACTTGCAGAACGCAAAACTCAGCAAGTTCGCGAAGCCGCGATTTAAGGACTTCGTTAAAAATGAAGAAGACTGAGACAAACGATGTTTGTAGTTCCAATCTCATAAATTTACAAGATTCCTAATATTATTATTCATCGTATAATAGAAAGATAGGACCCTTCTCGAGATCTCTCTGCGAAATCTATAAAATTCATGTAAATGTCGCATTTGTCGAACAGATTTTATGCAGTTTTTTGCCATTAGTTGATGCGCACGGTGTTTTTGCGGATGATGCCGTCGTCCGAAATTGTATCCAAAATCTATGAATAAATTTGAAGCGTCAAATACGAGTAAACATGTCATCAAGATTATTGCGGTGATAGATACGTGTGTCGCAAACATCGGCAACTCTTTTCTCGGTGACTTAATAAATCAAGCATATTGCGATGCTGATTCATAAATCCTTGCATAATATATTCTTGTCACGTGCTCACTCATATTGATCATTCCATCCAGGAATTTTCTCATCTTATTCCGCTCTATTAGAGCGCGAATGATATATACGCACATTATACGGAGCAATGTTTTACTACGTGATTCCCCGGCATACTTCCATCAAATTTACGGGTTCGAGAAAGATTTTCTTTCAAAACGTGGCGCTATTCGAAACTGAATTAAAACTTTGTTTTATCTCCTTATCCTTCGCTACGTTTCTCCTCTAACTGAAGTGCCAACTCTCGTTTGTTCTGAGCAAATATTATGAAGAACAATTAACGTCTAAATTGTGAAAGTCTCGTACAATAACGTTTTAAACAGTTACAAGTTCACGTATACATATAGCGAGTAAAACGTGCTCTAAAATAAATTAGGCGAAGGTCAAAATAAAGCGCAATTACTTCGAATAAAAAACTTTTGTTGTGGATACATTAAGCGATAAGTAATATAATATGCGTCGCATCATATAAAAACGCGTCGCGTATGCACGTTTTGGAGGTCGCGCTGTAAGTTGCGCGCGAATAGCTGCAGCGCATTTGTTGTCGAATCAAGCCCCACCTGCAAACCTTGATTTTTTTTTGTGAAAATATTATACGAAAAATAATTATTTCGTTACAAAGCGAAAAAAAGTATGTCGAAGTTTGTCGCGTTGTGTGTGTTACTCATACATTTACGATTACATACTTCATGTTATCGTAGAGTTGTAATGTTTTAGCGTGTAATTTAGCGTAAGATATTGTGATTCTCTCTTCCTGTCGATTGAACTTTGATAATGTGATAGTGTGTTTTGTTATGTAAACAACATATATGTAAGTGTATAAAAATGATTAACTGTTTTCTGTCGTTTTTTCTTTTTACGTACATGTATCTTATCCCAATGGATGTTGTTCACAAGTGTATGTATCGATATTTTTAATAATTACATGAGGCGCTCGTAACGCATGTTGGATTCCTTTGGGTTTTTGCTCATTTACCTGCCCTGAGATCGTGCGTCAACTCGTATATCTCTCACATTCTGTAATTATTTCTCACCGAAATTCTCTGTTTCTAATTTCCACAACCCGTACAGTCACACGCATTTATTTTCGTATTTCCGGTTATCGAAGAGATTATTTTCGATGTATTTCCAGCGGAGAGATAAAATTATTCACACAATATTTTGACAGCTGTGAAGAGAAATATATATTTTCCGAACTCGCGCACGTGGAGACAAATCGATATAGCAAGATAAACCGCGGTGCATCTCTCTATTATCTTTGAGCGATATATGTATATTGAAACTATGCAATCGAGTGATTGACTAGAAATAACAACCTAACGAGAAGAGAAACGTATGAAATCGTTAAAATACACCGCAGTGAGTTTCATTCAAGTTTTATTCAAGTTTCAATTTCATACGTGATATTTTTTAACGTGCAAACAATGTATAAAAATAAAATAAAAAATGTTTTATTTTATTTTTATACATTGTTTGGTGTTTTTTTTTTTAGTAATATTAATCCTCTGAGAAAAATTTGGATGAGAAAGGTTTCATAGAGAAACGAGACAGCCGAACAGATTTTATCGAATATATATTTAAATAGCCGTTTATAACACAAAATTGTAGATATTGTAAAAATATATGTTGTAACATTATATTTTTATTTTGTGCCTAAAACATAAAGTAAAAACTGGAAAATCATGAAATTGTACATTTTCTGGCGTATTTAAATGCAAAATAAACATAATGCAAAACGTATACAGTTACAGCTTTGCGCAATAATTATCCTATAAAAACATTCTACGGAACACTTTATTTGAGATCCGCAAGTTTTAAAGAGACTTAATGGAACTTAAACTGGTAACTCTGAATCTTACATACATATATATACACAAATACATATAAACTACTACAAAATGTTACAAATGACATTAAGAGGTTCTCGTATACTACACACCAGTAGGCTTCTGTGATGTGATAACAATAATACTGGAAAAAGCTACTAAATATTAAAATACTTGTAATAAATACTTAGTAGCAATAATAATAACAATCAATCTCATTATGCACAGTAGTTTTAACAATAAGAGAGAAATATAGTAATATATGTCAAAATATATTCAAAACAAAACAAAAACATGAAGAAATAGATTTTGAAAAAAGTAGTTTTGCACAAAAAATAAACAAATCTTATTTTTAATCGTGAAAATGGAGATAGAAATTAATGTGCTTATTCTCAATATGACAGAGAGAAAGACGATGTATAAAAAAGTATTATATTGCACATTTATAGCTAAATGTACAAGTTGTAACAAGAGACGACTTGCGTATCGCACATTTTCGGTTTGAATAGACGATTAAATAAGTACGATCTCTTGCTTGTGTTGATTGTAATTATGCATGCCCGCGTGTGATAAGAGAGCGGTATATATAATTCTTTAAATACACATATGTAAATATTTAAATAATCTTTCGACGTATACCTATACGGTATAGTATATCTAACACAAAAAGAAATTACATTTATTTGCGTATATTACTTCTTTTAACATGTAAAGTTCGACATTTAAATAATGTAACAATCATATACACCGATATGATATAGTAGTAAGCGTACGGCGTGAGTGAGTGAACTTACAAATGCAGGAATGTTATTATCGCACGAGGAAAAAAATGCGGAAAAAAACAGTTATTGTTCTGTGACAGTCTGCTTCTCGAAGCGTCGATTAAGCTTCTTCACGGTATACTCTCGAGACAACCTTTGATGTGCTGCCAAGCTTGGAGACCCTTGGAAAAAATGTAATGAGAAGAGAACTCGTGTAACAATTGTCGCGCGAAAATAAATCTACAAATTGTAAACATTTGATATATATATTCACCTTCTTAGCCAGTTTAAATTGCAAGATACAATAAGCCACCAAAGTGTCCTTCAGATCGACGACCTTTTGATGTTGAAATCTCTCGATGTCCATCACGGCTTTAATGGAGAAAGATCTGTAAAATTATAATAACAGTTATGTCACGCATTTGGTTTTAGTACAAAAAAACAAAATTAGTCACAAAATGTTGTCTCACTTTAAATCTTCGTCCACTTGTTTCACAACTTCGTCGTGTTGCGCGATTCGCTGTTCTAGTTGAATAATCTTTAGTTCGCGAACCTCTTCGGTATCCACGGAACCGAACAAACGTGACATCAGACCTGCTTTACCTTCAGAGCAAAGTTTTATTGTCTTTGCGCGAATTTACGAAAAATAATTCGCATGTGATGTTGTGTGTTCGCACATATCGCGTACCTTGCATAACTTTGTCTTTTTGTTCGAACGCCGCAGTCAGAGCGTCGTGAGCCTCATCCTTGGCCAATTGTAGGGCTTCCCTGCGTCTAACTACAGCCTGCAACGCCGACGCACCGAACAGCCACTCCTTGAGCTGATCGGCTATGAGTTCTTCTTCCTCGAGAGTGGTATCTATCGTTGCCGCTAATGAGTCCAAGTAGTGTCCCGATTTCTAAGAAAACAGGCTGTAATGCGGTGTTTTGCATTCTTTATACTTAAACTGCATGTTTTTTTCTCTCTCTCTTTCTATCGAGTTCTTTACTTTCTACATTTCGCGACAAGAATTAAAACCGATACTTTCGTATATTGACGCACGAGATGCTATTTCTATATAACAAAAGATACCTGCAGTCCATCGCCCATTTCTCTCTCTATGGCACTCCATTCGCTGAAGACACGTCCGTAATTCGCGTGCAACTTGTACAGGTTGTGCTGTTTTTCGACAAGACGCGCGCGCACACGCAGCAAATTGCACAAATTATTCTGCAAGAATAACATTGAAATAAGACTCACATAAATTTATGTTGCGGGAAGTAACATTTTAAGATGTAACACACCTGCAGTTCGATCCCATAATTTTTTATCGTCTCGAAACGTTTGTCCGGTTTTCTCAGTCGTACCGCTACGCTGAGCGCCTTGAGTTTCGATTCTGCGATCTGCAGATACCCTACGCACAAATAATAAGCAATAATAATCACATTAGATTAATTCATTTTTAATGTAATTTACTTAATTAATTTTAAAACTTTGTTCTCTTTTTTATTTTAGCACTGTAGAAATACCTGTTTCTTTGACGCTTTCTCTCCAGCCGTCTTTCTGTTGCAAAAATCCCATGAAATGTTCATCGCGCGAAAGTATAGGATGCGACGCAACTCTTATAAGAAAGTTCTAGACAAACAAACGTAGATTTTGTGTAATACAAAAAGTTCTTCTCTAGTATAGTTTAATTAGGGTACAATTTAATCTCCCTTGAAAGTGCGCGTATTAAATCGGTACCTCGAGACCAGCTCTTCTACGATCCACAAAATCGGGATCAAACGTGTCGGTCGTCACCTTTTGCCACGCATAAAGGACTTTCTTTTCCGGCAATGGTGGTAGAACGACGTAAGGATAAGAAATCTCTAGATAAGCGCGAAGCAGCTCGAATTCCGTATATCGTCGCCATAACGAACTTATCCTAGTCAGTGCATTTTTGAAATCAGGGTCAGTGACTCTGAAACAAATCATAAACATACATTTTTTCTATACAAGAGTAAGTTTCATACATATTTAATCAAGCTGCATAAATTTTTTCTTCACTCGCTTACTTAGTTTCGATGAGGTATACTGTGTAGAATTCTCTTAAATTAAGAGCTCTGTTGGCTCTCTTTTCAGCCTCCACTATTGAGATCTCCATGTGATCAAGCAAGCAGTCCTGAAAAGAGCAAGCAAAAACAAAAACATTTAATTTCTGATAAACATTTACACGCGCGTTTGAGAATCACTGCATTGCGTGCTTATCTCTCACGCGGGATATCGCGGTTTTGGCGGTACGCACGAACATACTGTACACAATGCAGAACCGTCTGAACGTGACAGCTGTGTTCCCGAACTTGTATAGGAAAATATGATCAGGCACAGAGAGGGATCGAGGGAAGGGACACGAGTCAGTGACACCGTTTGAGAGACGCTGCGCGTTGCTCCGATAATCACTGCGCGACACACTTATGTATTTTCTATGTTTTCTCCCGCTTAATTAAAACTAAATTAATTTAAATGCACGTTCTTTTCTCTGCTCCGGCGCAAACTTATGATCAGTAATTTTCCACAATTTTTTTTTGATGACGTACCTAACTAGGTCGAAAAATATGAGACGTGACTCTAAAGTAAAGGCAAACCACGCCGAAGAGAACGATGTATCGATTTGCCAGAACAATGTTGAAAAACAGGCTCTTTACCTCTTTTCGCGTCTCCACGGCGGTCATATTGTTGGCGTTAGTCTCCCTCTGATAGTTGCCGTTTTGAAACACCTCTTCCATGATTATCGGTGACTGTGCTTGCTATTCTATCTACGGACCCTTAGCCTGCGGTAATCTGGACGTCTGGCTTTTCACATCACGTCAGCTCGCTTGCTCGACCCAAATGCGCAGACCAGACCTGCGACCACCGCTGATTCGCCACCACTGCCGTATCGACGATAGTCCTGGTGTTGGGAGACAGCACTGGCAGCATTGTGCTGCCACAGTGCCAGAAAGATTCAAACTCGTCGCCGCGTGCAAATCAAAGTGCTTCGAGCAGCGCGTGCTTACCTGTTCTACAGCTGTGTTTCAAAATTCGCTGCTTTAAAAATCTATAGTTTACGTCACGTATATTGTAAATTTTCAAACGTTGAATTTCGAACCGTAGAGGATACGTTATCGTCGTGCAGATCCGCACTGTTGCTTAAAATCAACAATATGCGTTGAAAAGTTATAAATTATATATAGTAATATGCAATGCAATGTATAAAACATATTGATAAACGCGAAAAAGTCTTTAAAAAATATAAAATATCCAATTCACTTATAATTCGTAGATGAGAACTCAAGAAACTTTAATATATCGCTCAATTTTACATATGTACGCTACTGACACGATATTCGCGTTCAAACGACGCTAATTCTAATAAGCACGCACACAAGAAATAATAATTAAATCTTTCCCAGGTTGTGGCTTTTCTGTATAATAGAAGAAATTTCGAAGAGAGGAGAGATTCAGTAATCACATAATTTTTATTTTTCTAATAAAATAACTTCATTTATATTTTTTGCTACATTAATTTTGTTTGGTAACAGCTATTGCTAATTATTAAAAGATTTATAACAAAATACTACGATGTATATCATAATTTTATATGAATACGAGAATAGTAATAATAATACGTAGTTTTACGAAGTTTGCATCAATATTGTTGCAATATTTTATATAATGTTTCTAATATACTTATACGTATATATATATATATATATATATATATATATACNATATATATATATATATATATATATACACATATTGTACGTACTATACAATTGATTGTACGAACAAAATATTCGTACAATATAGGTGGGACCGAGCGGATCTTATTCTCTATATGAATGTACGTATTTACATAATGAATTTATAAAATGGATATAAAACGATATCACATTTTATCGTCCTTAACATTTATAAAGACAAAATCGTATTTACATATTTCAATAATTATTCTTCAAAGAGCGAAATATCACGATTTGTTTACGATAGAGTCAAACAATATTGTCCTGTGTGTTAATCTGCGATGTTTTCCGAGGTAAAACAATAATTAGAAGAGCAGATACTGTAAAAAAAAGCAATTCAAAATATTTAAAAACTTTTTATGTTTAATTTTATAAAATTAATTTCTTTATTTGTACGTGCGTAACACGGTGAATGTAAGTTTAATGTTTGAGCAATTTCTTACCTAAACAAGCCGAGCCGATCATAATGAAAGGACCTAAACACGATATATCGAATAAAACGGGAAACAATAAATTGCCTATTACTGCGCCTATTCTTCCCATCATCATGGTTATACTGACCGCCATGGTTCTGGAACACATAAAAAATTAAATGAAAAGAAATAATTTGAGAACAAAGAGACAACCAACATACAATTTATGAAGAAATCCGAGAATGTCTTCGCGATGAACTTCAAATATTTTATCTACTGTACCGTAAACATGTCGGGAAGTTGTCAACGATAACATTCGTTACAGTTGCACCGCCTATACTCGACATGGCAACGAACACGGAAGACAATCCGAGAATACTATCAGTATCTTCGGCCCAGTAAAGCGAGCCGCAACAGCCAGCAGCGACGAGGAAACAAATTGCTGTAAAAATTTATAATATATGTGCATTGGGTAATGAAACCGACGTTTTTTAATATTTTTTAAATTAATATAATCGCACCCATTAATTTCTTTTTTCCAACTATGGTGATCAAAGAACCCGCCAGAGTGTAGCCAATAATCCCCGTGGTAGCGATGACGATGGAATTGATGAACACTCTGGAGTTCAGTTGCGACTGCAATTTTTACACGTATTATTATTTTTTAGATTTATTTATTTTCCACTCTGTGATTAAAATTTGCCACATTTGCGCAAAGTCGAACCTTACCGAAACGCATACATTATTCACAGCGCCGTTTGTAGTTTGATTGACAGAATAATGAGTGGAATTTAGATACAATTTTTCTTGACCTAACATGTAACAGAATGAAGGCGAACCAGACATCGTTTCGGTGTCGTTTTTCATGAAACTTTTGTAACTCTCGATCATCGCAAACAGTTGCGGCATCCAAAGTCGAAGCGAGTTTGATCTGTCATACAACACAGTTGTGATTGTTTATTTTACAAGCGACATTTTTATTTGCTTCGTATTGTTCTTTGGTATTTTTTTTTAAATTAAAGAAAACAAAAGAAAGAAGAAAACCTACCCTATCGTTGCTCCGACCTGTATCATCGATATCAGAAACAATTTGAAGACGATGGGTGGCAAGAAAAGAATTTTCATTTGTTTCCAGCACGTGTGCACGTTGTCCAAAAAACCGTGGCCGGAGGATTCGACATTATATTCGTTCTCAAGAGCTTTTATCTGTCAGTTAAACTGATCGTTAGCGGGCAAAAAACAATAAAACGACTATTGACATTACTAGTTATGAATGCGTTGGCGCGACAACTTTGTTGGTTGCGCAGTTATCTCGCCATATATTAAAGGTGACATTTATTTTTTACAAAGTTTTGTTTTTTTTTCTCACAGTCAGCTTTTATTAGACTTTGTTTTTAATTAGTCACACAACGAATGATCAGTTCGATTTAAAAAAAATTTATTGTTAATAACACATTGTTTTGCGTTTATTTACCGGATATGTGTCGGGATCTTTTCCAGTATTGAGCGAATACATTTTTCGAAAAACGTTCAACGCCTCTTCATGTCGACCCTTCAGAATGAGGAAGCGCGGACTCTCCGGAAACGCGAAAAAAGCAAAGCACGCGAGAAACTCGGGTATCGAACAGATCGCCAGGAACACTCTCCAGGAACTTATTCCCATGGTTCCGTTCAAGAAAGTGATGTCCCACTTTTGAGGTATCACGAGCCATGCTATACCTATTGAAATTAAAAATCGTGTTTTATCAATTTTGCACAAGTATAGAGATAACTTTTATGATATTTGTTATCTTGAATTCAACAGGATTAAGATTGTATTAAAGAAACAATATTATATGTATATTTTCAAACGTCTCTCGGTTAGACGCATTCGTCAAGATTCTGACGAAGCTGAACAACCGGAACTCACTCATAAACTCAATTCCGTGCGTTATTTAATTGATCTATTAATGCCAACGATATTGTTTGGCGCGAGTGTGGTTCTTTTTTCATAATAATGCAGCAAAAAAATGCGCATATGTTGCTTGCATATGTCGCCGGTTTAAAAATAGACGTTCGATTATTCCACAACCAAGTCGATTTCTGGATAAGAAGACGTGTCAAGGCTGTAAACTTACATGGTAGAGAAATGTTTCCAAGCGAAAAAAACACGCCAAGCCACATATATGAGCGCGATCGATGCACTTCGTTGTGTATCTCCGCCAAGTACGACATAAGAGCTGCATAAGGGCCCGATATACTGCAATATCATATTTATTGACAATGATAATAATATCTCGCAATACTCTTGAATTTTTTTTTATTTAATGTTTATTTAAAATAGTCGAAATACTTAACGTTTCTTGTCTTTCTAATAAATAAAAAATTAATATTATTGTCGTACTCGACTACACAAACAATTTTGTTAACATAAATTGCATGCAATTATTACAACGTCAGATCGTGATCTGACAAGCGGTCTCAACTTACATTACGCCGTCTAAAAATTTGAACAAGATCAAAAGCCAAGAGGTGTGCGAAAAAGACGTTGCCAGACTAAGTATACCAGTAATCAGATAACCGTAGACCATTAGTTTCTTACGGCCGAACGTGTCGGCCATAAAACCCCAGAAAAACGCCGACATGATCATTCCTAAAAAAAAAAGTGACAAATCAGCCGAACTTCTTTTTTTTCTTGTTTTTTATTAAAGATTAGATATTAAAACAAAGAGTAAAATGTGCAGATAGAAGATAATGTTTGCACTAGTTCAAAGCGATATTATTTTCACAGTTGCGACACGCCACGAATTTGTGGTAAGTAATCAGTGTCGGATTATTCGTTCGGCACATGCCCAGGGGCCTCCAAGCTAAAAATTTCCGTTAGACTATCTTGGAGAAATTAAAAATATCTTGCAATTTTTTTCCAATTTAAAAAGAACCGATAGAATGAGATGAAAATTTATATTTTATTTGTATAATGCAAATGTGCAACTTTATCACTGATGTTAAATCAGTACTTACATTATGTTCTCTCTCTTTTGCATTTCTCTATACAAAATACAAGAGTAATAAATAACTTAAATGTCGTTTCTTACGTGTGTGTCATTCTTCTTGTGTAACAAACACATATGAATTATTTACTAGCATTTTTCTATAAAAGATCACATGTGTGACTTGTTGAGGTCAAGTAAATTCCTCATTTATTAAAAATAAAACTTGCAACACATTGAACTGAATAACGCTTACGAGTTTAAGATGATAAAGCACATGTGACGTGCAAGCGGAAACACTCTACCCCTTATTAGTTGTTTACCGACGCCATTGCAAGCTGCGAGGAGAGCCCCGAGGGTGGCTGTACCTTGGGGGAATCCCATATAGAGGGTCTTAATCCGCCACTGGACAAAATCGCTCGCGGATCGAAAAGCGATCGCAAAACGAAAACCAATCGGCCGATTAGTAAAAACACTCAGCCGATCAGAATTCGCATGCGACTAGAGAAATGTGAAATGCTTGTACGGTATATTTACCGTGGGTTCGCGTTTGCCCTCACATTTGCCTACAACGAACCGGCACAGTGCGCGCGTTGTGTACGATAATCATACTAAGCATGACTCTGGCGCTCTAGGGCTCTCATTGAGAGGGCTCTCGCACCTGTAATAAAGCGTTGCATTTTATTAAGCGGATTGAAATACCACCTGCGTACGCCATTGAGTTCAGCAATCCCTTGTCGAACATTGTCAGTTGAAGATCGCACTCGGCAGACGGTAACACATAAGACATCACCGACGACGAGAAGATGCTAGAGATTGCGGCCGGCAATATTGCCAGTAGCAAGAAGTAGTTAAATTTCCCGTAGCCTGAGCAAAAACAAGCGCGTTTAATCAGTGCGAATTAAATTCAGGTCCTGTTCACGTGTGCGTGTTCAGACACGTGTTCACGTTTGCGTTCGTAACGGCTATCAAATAGAGTCGATAAATTCGTATAAATATTTATTAAACAATTTGTTTAGTTTTACCGTTACATTCACTTTGAGCGTGTCACATACGTGCGAGACATTCCGAACGATGGAAAAAAAATTGACGTGGAAAGATATTTTATTTATTTACCTGTCGCGTCGATTGCCCGTTCGAAATCGGCTGGACTCGAGTGGTCATACTTTTCATCTTCATCTGCGAACAGGAACAACGACTGAGATCAACTGCTTTTAAATTTTATGTAACAAAAATGAAATGACTTTTGACAATGAAATGACTTTTACCTGGCCTACGTTGCATACGCGTGTATTTGAACAAGTTGTATCTTGTAAATATATTAATTAGACGTTCGAGCATCATTTTTCTAGCTATCTGTCACCAGATAATTTTGTTTTTCAACTATTTTTAATCTCACAAAAGCTAGCAACATGTCGAAACACTCGCTAACGTTGTCATTTATATCATTCAGTTTGTTCGCTTAAATATGACGTCTGACGTGAATAAAGAAAATTCTTACTTTGTAGTAGAGTTATATTAATTATACAAAGAACCTGTTTGAACGAAGCAATTATTTTCAATATATACAATGATTATACAAACATTTAAAATCAATCGCTTGTCTTCCGTAAAGTGTAGTAATTTTAATTTGTTTTTACAATGTCAGATAGGATCGCCGATAAATATGTCTTATGTGCATGCAGCGTAGATTTTGCTTTGCTGTAGAATTAGCGAAACAATCGATAACAATTTGATATGCTTTCGATCTGCACAATAACTTCTACACAAGATGATATCGTTGAACAGCGCCGTATCGTCAGGCAGATTGAACTCGACTGACGATTGAGAAACCCACCGCAATATTTATACAAAATCGCGTACTTGTGCCGAGCGTATTTCTCTAATCAAAGATATTGTAGATATATTAACTGACAAATAACAAAATGATCTAAATATCTGAGATCTTAAGATGTGTTTATCTCATATGTGTTTATCTCTTTTAGACTTCTAGAAAGTTCTAAACGGAGAGTAATATAAGTACACATATACTCGTAATAACGCTTGTACATACGTATGTAACAATGCAAAATGTGTAACTCCTGTTTTATCGCTTCGGTAACGTAATACGTGAGTCCGCGCATTGTTTTATTCAAAATATCTGAGGCCAAACTTCCTTGGTGATACACTTCCTTGATGATAGTAAAACAAAAAGATTTTCGTGTCCACACGTAAAAGTATGTATATGTGTAAAATTGCAAGTTTTACACAATAATGAGATATATTAGAAAAGCTAACAAAAGAGAGCTTTATAAACAAAAGAAACTTGTGGAAAATATAAGAATCGCTCAGAAATCATTAATTATTTTAAACCGACAGCAATTATATATCGTTCTTATCTGGTTTCTTTTTTACATATTCTAATTTCTTGAAGTGCTGCAAAAAAGCAGAACATGTTTACACCACGCCTATGCTAAACATCGCAATTAATATGTATTTCTATTCAAGATGGATCTGATATCCACCAATACCTTCACTTCCTTGAAAGAATATTGAAAAAAAAATTAAAATAAGAATAATGGAAAAAAACAAGAAATTATCTTTTTTTTTTTTTACTAAGTACTTTGTATTTGGCGTCACAATACATAACACTTTGAGTCCATTAAGATATGATAGATGCACTTAGTGCGTTTTATCGTAACACTGTCTATTACTTACAAAAAAAAAAATGAAAGCTATGTTCTTAATAAAAAAATTTAAATAAAATAAAAAAGAAAAAATTATAAAAATTTTCTAAGTAAATGTAAGTAATTATTGATATAGTCAATAGCTGCTTCGACATTAAACGCAGTATCATTTAATGTAATTAATTAGATTGCTCGTGTCAATTGCGCGAACGTACGTATCTCGTGAATCTCCGTTAGAAAATTTCCTTTAAAAAGATAGTGTGATAAGTAAATAGAGTAAGATATATTTATATAAGTAAATAAGTAATTACTTATAAAGTGTTTTAAAAGATAATTATCTATCCCATGCATAGTCAAACAAATCAGTTTGATTCTTCTTAAATTATGTTTGTTTATGCAAATTATTTATTATTAACTATAAATTATAATTATTATACAAAAAGTAAATTATAATTAAGAATATTAAAACCTATTTGAAAAATAATATAATAAAAAAGAGATTAATTAAAGATTTAAAAAAGTCGATATTTTTTCGTCCTTTTTCTACAAGACTGACTTGATTTCATTTAGTTAACAATATATAAGAAGAGAGAAAGAGACAGAGAAACAGATGCTTTGTATTGTGCAAATAGTAATATTGCTTCACAGTTACATATATGTGTCATAAAAGTTTTCAAACAATATGCAATAATCGTACACATGTAATATTTTGTCATTACTTAATATCGCGTTGAATAACATTGTTGCAACTACTTGCATACCGTCACGATTGAATTCACGCGCTTTTATATGCACACGTGCGGATATAAAACGTATCTTATAATACGTTTAAAATTATGTAAAAAGTTGACGATATTGAAGATATAAGTAATGAATAAATCGTGCTTAAACAATACTTGTGATCATTTTCTATTATATTTTACTAAGCAAAACAATCAAACATTCTGATTGACAATATAAACGTACATGTAATTCTCTTAATCAACATTGCATTGATACATGAATATCCAACAATCTCTAGAAAATTTTTTAAATAAAAAATACTTGCCTTTGAATTTCATCGACGTCTTCATTAAATATTTTATCTATCGGACGTTCCTCGTGAGATAATAAGAATAACGACGGTGAAAATTATTCTTCGCGTAACGAGAGCGAAAAATACAGCGATGCCACAGAGAATGCAGTTAGAGTCTACAACCCTTATTCGACGGTCTTGAAATTCTTCACGCCGCTTCGCATTACACCTTGATGTCCGTTCGACTTCCCCGATATGCTTCTTCGGTGACACATGCACAGTAATGAACGACAACCGTTAAACTGGCCGATTCTACGGCAAAAGTTTAGTCAGCTGCGAAAGAAGTGCAAAGAAAACGATTACGACGACAACGACGTCCGACGTCGTTAACGCGGTGGGGCGGAACAGGTTTCTGAAAAACTCGCACAATCTCGCGTATCAACGATAAAGATCGTTGTGTTTTGCACCAACACCCGCACGCAGTAACTTGCGGGGGATGTCTCCTTCCCCGCAGGTATAAGAAAATTCCGCGATTATTTTTTTTCGTCATCGCGTTGTCTCGAGCGACGTTTACAAAGTAGTAGATAGCGCTAACATTTGCTTAATCCGTGATATCTGCGCGGAATATTTCGTTGCTGATCGTAAATTTATAAGAGATCTCCGTGTTTTTTTACCATACGACGACCGCAGATATCGACAACAATGGCGCGCGTATAGAATACTTATTAAATGTATACTTACTGTGTACGAAAAGAATTACGAATAGAATTATTTTACTCGCATTCAATTTTCATTGATGTATTTTTTTCCGCTCAAAAAAATTCCGTTGTTGCCAGTCGTTGTTTCCAGTCGTCAGTTCATATTTCTTCGATATCGTTGCAGGAAAGATAGTAGGATTGGTATTGCGCGCTTTTTTGTTCAAATTCTGTGCTATGAATAAAACAGTTATGTCGCGATCGGTAAATAGAATAGACGATAATAGCCATAAAAATATTTATGACATGTTTGTGAGCGTTGTTTTATGAGTTTATATTGTGCGACTGTCACTGAGATGCTCCCGAATGACATTTAAAAATTACATCCAGCGTAAATTTCCAAATTTGATTATATATTCTACCGCAAACAGACCGACGTGGCGACTGTAAATATTTGTTGAAAAAATTGTCTAAAGTATAAAATAAAATATTACTCAACAAACAAAATATGTGCAGATGATTACTTAGGTGTCATATAATTTGAAATTCTCAATATTTCACACATAAAAACAATATTGGCTGTTTGGTATATGTACTTTGAGAAAACAATTTTATCTTGGTGTACAAATTTGCGTTGCAATTTCTCAATTGTAATCAACAGCATGTGACTTTTGAAAGATTGAATTCCTCTAAAACAGAAGTTGATGAGTCATTGTAAATTCAGGTGTCAGTTGGCACGATTGTCACAGAAATTGTCTGAAAGATCTCTGTTCTCTTTTCCTCTCACTTTCTCTTTCTCTTCTCTTTTTGTTTATATAAGTATATTAACGTAATTGTCTTTTATAATTATTATACACGTGTAAAGACGAGCTGTTGCATAGTGTATTTGTACAATTATATGCGTTAAAGAGAAATTATACATGTTACAGAGAATCATTAAATTCAGTCATTCTATTTTCCGAAATGTTAGAGTAAGCGTCAATAACTAATGTACACGCAGAAATTACGTAACTACCTGTGCATCACCTCTTTAGTTTTTGACATATGTATATTTATTCTGTGTGCAGTCGCATAAGAGTTGACGGTTGAAAAAACAATATACCCTTGCACTTAGATAACCCTTGTATAACGTGATACTTGAACAACGCGGTTTCGATATAACGCGGTTTACAAATTGTAGTAAAATAGATTCTACCCTCGTTTTTTCAATATGCGCACTTGTGAGCCTCGTATGCGCAATTTATATAACGCGGTATTTCTGTGGAACGGAATATACGCGTTATACGAAGGTTACCTGTCATACGTTATCTATTCTCCCAAGAACAATATAATATTATATACAGAGACGTGATTTCTCACACACACGTTAATAACTCACAAATGATCAAGTCTTTTTCTTTGTATATCGGTTTTTAAAAGTCTTTCAAATTGATAACGATATTACAATTGAGTTTAAAGTGTAGGAAAAAAGTGCACATATAGTGTGTGCGTCACTTTGTCTACTTTGTTATTCATGGAAGACTCCACAAGAGTGTAATTTGAAAGAAATAGTCAACATATGATAAATTGATTATAACAGTCTGATGAACTGATTAATGACACATACAATACTGATATATTTAAAAATGTTAAAAAAGATAAATTTGTGTTAAAATGTTTGTATTTAGAAATAATATATACAGATAAAGGATTTATACACAGACAGACAGATTATGTCTAATTAAATAATTAACTATATAAGAATTACCTTTGAAAAAAAAAAAATATATATATATATATATATATATATATATATATATACTTGCTAGAATGAACTGTATGTGAACAAAACGAAGAACGAGAAACATAAAACAGTTTTAACGTCTATATATAACAGCTTGAGTTCGAATTACGTATAACCTTCCGCAATTAAGCCGATTAGCTATTGTATTACGATGTAACGATTATCAGTATTATAAATTCAATAAAAAAAGTGAGACACACTATATGTTCTTCTCTTCACTTTATAAACACAAAACAAGAATGTCAAAAATTATTCCGTCTAATTCTCTGACGAAATTTTTAAGACGCATTAGCTCATATCATATAATAAATTATTCATAAAGCAGAAAATGTTAAATTATGATAAATTATGTTAACAGATGCAATGATTAATTTTTTTGTCATGTGTGGAAAAATTAAATCTGTATCAGCAGCTTGGTTACTCAGAACTGATAATAGCGTAGTTCCAACACATATAAAAGGTTACAAGCGTGATATCTGTTCATTTATAATTTTTAAAAATTATTTTATACTTTCACTTAAAACAAAAAACACATGTTATTGTAAAAACTAGTTGTTACTTCTTTTATTTTTTTTAATTTGAAAAAATATGTATTAACATAATTATGTGTATATTATTTATTCTCTATGTATATATATAATATATTGGATGTTATTTAATGCTACAATTAATGATTTACTTTGTTGTGACAAAAAGAATAGCAATGAATACGCTCGAACAACTTATTCGCCTCTTATCATAAGATTATACCATACACTACGTAAGACTACTTTGTCATACAGATAAGTTATTGAATGCAAACTCGATAAAAGAAAATTGTTCGTAATGTTCGATAGTTTTCACGCATATTTGTGTAAAAACAGACAAAAACGTAGTTAGCAAATTTTTCAGTATTGTGAATAAAGAGCGTGTCAATATCAATCGTGTGAATGTGCGCCGATATAACTTAATTATAATTTATAATTAACTACATCAACATATGTAATAATACAAAACAAGTGCGTTATAAAAAAAGTTATTATATGTTATAACATACATTACAATGTTTTTTGAAAAAAAAAGTATCAAATTGCGTACATGTCAATTATATCATCCAGTTCCGGTTTAAAATCACAAAATGCGTATCAGCCTTTACTGGTATCATCTGCTTCATTCTGCGTCTGCTTACGAAAGTGCACGTGTTTTCCTAGAGATTGTAAAACGACTTCGCATTGCAAAATAAAAACAATTTCTCAGATCATATGTCAAGAAGATTGTTGGCCCCTAATCGTGTGGTCACCGGTCACGTACACACGTTACAGAATGAATCGAGAGAAACGTCTTATTCGAATAATTACGCATTCATGTATCAGTTAAGTAAAATGCTTTTTTTGTGAAGCCGTATTGCTGAGATGAGCAATGACGTCTGATCTATCTGATATGTTTTCCCCTGTAGTTGGAAATATTGAGTTAATCTGGGTTTTCACCATTGCGCGTTTTCCACTAAACACAGATTATTTCACATTTTTCCTCGATTGCTTTAATTTATATCCTCCAACATGTTGAGTAAGATATTTTAAACATAGAAATAAAAAGTATTTTATAAACATACAAATTTTATAAACATTAAAACACGGCAAATATATCCAGTTTTTTGACTATATTTTTAAATGTAATAAAAATTAGATAAAAAATTATGCAATGTAAAAAATATATTTATAAGATAAGATAATGTAAAATATAAGATCATAACTATATAAACATAGACTGTATATTACTAATTTATTCACTGCTTCATGAGTTATTTACTACTTAATCTAATTTAACTTATAGACGATCGTCTGATAATGAAATTACAAAATACGCGTTAAACAGATAAAACTTATGAACTCACTTTATCTTTGTTTATAATGAAACGAAATGATCTAAAGAATCGCTTTGAGAGAGCACATTTATTTATGTATAATAAAAATCAGACTTTGTGATGCAGTTGTTTTCTGAGAACTATATCTCCCTCTCTAAGTGTCTGTTTCTTTGTCAATTTCTCTCGACGTCATAGAAGATTGTAACAGAGGACTCTTCATGGCTATATAAACAGCGGACCACAGATCACGGTGAACTTTCCTGTCTGGATACTAAAGAACGACCCGGAACGACCCACATATCTTCTCATTCGTTATCCGTAAAAGCTTTCGAGTGAACAGGGGAATCTGGCGATGTTGCCACAGAAACTTGTGCGGCTTGATATAAAGTGACCGTGTTGTCTAACAAAAGTGACCAGTTCGTCATCTTCTTGTGAGGATATCGGAAGAATATCGTGTTGGGTGAGTATCTTTGCTTGTAAATAACCAACTGCGCTCGTCAGCTATTCGCATTGTGCGTTTTAATTTTATAGAGAGCGATGATCATGCAATATTGTGCGTAACGGGGTGACATTGCACATCATGTACTCTGTAATCGTGACGAAAGGTAAAAATATAATAAAGCAAGCGATTAGCAAGTTTGTGTAGTAGTGTTAACACTAAAAAAAGTATATACAGCTTACAAAAAAATAGGGTACGTTAAAATATTAAATAAATGTAATTGTATCATAATACAAAATATTTCTGTAGAGGTAATGAGGTATAGATATGAAAAAGAAAGAAAATAGAATTTTTTTTGAATTCTCATCGTATTTTACAATACACAAAAAAACCGGTAAAAAAAATTTTTTCTAAAAAAATTAAACATTTAAATAAATATTAATATGTTAATAAATTTAATTTGTTCATGAGGCGGCAGATAAACTTACAAAGAGATCACTCTTATCATTGTTCGATAAGGATCGAGTGAAGAATATAAGGTTCTTGTTTTCGACTTCAGATGACTCTACATAACTTTATTTGCAATATTACACTGTTCCAAGGCGTATTCTTTGTATGCGTCTTTGTATAGTGTATTTAAATTTGTTACTAAATTATATATCTCGACAGTGCGCAACGTCACGTAAGCTTTTTAGATACATATAGTATGTATTTTTACTTCCAATTTAAAAAATATTACACTGTAATCTAAACAACATATTTATTTATTAAGAATTACTCAAGATTCTTTTTTAAAAAAAACAATATAATTCACTATAGATGTATTTTTAATAAACAAATAGCTTTTCATTAAAAATGTATGTCGAAAAAGTGATGTAATACATTAACTAATATCTTGTTATTATTTTATTCGAGATAATATTTTTAAAATATTTTTTTTGAAAAATACAAATTAAAACAAATTAAAAAAAAATACAAATTAAATATTAATAAACATACATAGTTAACAAATCATTAATTTACAACAATTATTTATAAATATCATTTATTAATAACATTGGATGTGTACAATTTATTTACGAAGAAGTGGAAAACAGCAAAAGAAAGAGACAAAGAGAGAGAGAGAGTAGAATTACATAGTCGGTGCAACCGACTGAAGGACCGAATTCTTTGGGAAGGGGACAAAGTGAGAAAAGAAGATAGAGAGAAGGAACAAGGTAACCCATAGGAACATCTCACAAAATGGTTATAACTATCACGCTCGTATCACGTGCTCGTTAAACCGGCTCGAGTCTTTATTGCTTCTTGTCTGCGCTTCAAACAACTACGAAGCATTCAAGTCGAGATAAGATTCAGTCATTTAGTCTCATCTCGAAACTCATGTCTATTAGATTTTTACAATTTGGGTAATCACAATAAAAATTTTTAATTTTTAAAATCGTTATCTTTTTACTATTATTATCTTCGTATGATTATATTCGATGTAAAAAAAGCTAAGAGACTAATAAAATTTTTATAAAAATTTCAAAACATTTATATAAAATTGCAATTGCAAAAGAAACATAACACACTTCAGTTTATTACATTACTAAAAAGAATAAAATCTTACATATTTTGTACGTTATACATTATACGCAACATACTTCTTAATTAATGTTACAACATTCCGGAATATTCAGATATACAATCAGACAAGATAGTCGCAAGGTTAAATATTTTGACAACTGGTTTTTAAACGGCATCGACTACATCCTTGGGTGTAACTGTCGCATTAGCGCAGAACTTACAGACGCGTATTTCAGGCGCAGGCAACTTCCGCACCGAAAGGCGCATGCGTTCTATAAGAGGGTAGGAAAACCGTCTTTGATCGTGAGCAGGGTGGGAGAATCGCATGAAGTCGAATTCGGGTGGTCGATGCGACAGGTTCAGCTGAAGCTATTCAGATATCTGAATGAATCGTTTGCGTTAATTTGATTCCCAGAAGATAATTTTGCTGTGACGAAGTCAGCCGGTCGTGAAGTGGCGAGTTAAGTTTGACTTGAATTGCGGCGGTTCTGCAGGGGCTCGAAACGCGCGGACGAGAGATTGTCGCAACGAGCCGACATCCGAGCATATTGATCCGGGGTGGTTATTTGACATATATATATATATACACGTATCTAGTGCGCACCTACGTGTTTCCGCGAGAAGAAGAGCCGTTGTCGTCGGTTACAACTTACGAGCAAGCAGGGCACGCAACTGTCCCGCGGCCTGCTCGACCACTCCGGAGGCTTCAGAGCGAAAAACATGGGCGTTGAGGTGTTCGACTGCCTGAACAATTATCTGCGAGTAGAGCGCTGCAAGAAGTCGTACTTAGGTAAGCTTGCGCGTTGCCGACGTGATGCGGATACTTGCAACGAGAAAGTTCTGCGCGCGTTGTCAGGATATTCATCGATTGACTGTATTAATATTGATGTCTTAATTGAATTAGAACGACCGGCTTCGAGTGAGAAACCATCATATAAGTTCGAGACCAAAAATTCCAAATATTATACAGAATCAGGCACTGACTCACACATAAGGTTTTTGATCGGATAACTCCTTTGTAGAAATTAGATGTCGAAAGCACGAACAGAGGTCTTTGAACTTAGAAAGAGACTATCTTTTACTCTATTTTTAGCAATCATGTATTCTTTATAAAAAGATAAAGCAACATAAATATGTTTTACGCTTAAAATTTATTGGCACCAATAAAAGTAGAAAAGATCTATTTTTAAGAGTTATATTAGTAATATGTTCTTGTAATAAAAAGACAAAGCAGAATAGAGAGAAATATGTTATACTTGATACCAATTTTATTTTTTATTTGTACTAATAAAAGTAAAAAGTACATGGTCGTAGATTTGCCAACCCATACATACAATTACGAGTGCTTGCAGAAATGTAATACGTGTTATCATCTATACAAAATGCTAAATATGCATTAGCCAGTTTGTTTATCTCGTCAATAAACTGCAAATAGCAAACAAGTAATCAAACATCTCTCTCTCTCTCTCTCTCTCTCTCTCTCTCTCTCTCTGTGAACTATAAATAATTTACAACTATAATTATTATGCCGCTCATTCAACTGTTGTTATAGTTACTCTTTCCGTATATAATTCGCATCGATTGGCTCACTCTTTTTATAAACTCTCCTTTGATTGACCTTAACAGTTTTATTATATCAAGATCGAGCTAAATCGAATGTCTGCCAGAAGTTTGTCACACATCATTCATGCTATCTTTTATTGGCAACGCGATATCATTTGATTAAGTTCTTATTTATCACGTCGTATAACGTTCGGTCGTCGCACATACATGTACACGCGCGCTGCTTATTTTACACGCGAATCGCTTGACGGTAATTTAATAAGCTATGTCTGCAATTTAATCATGAGTGCTTGTTGGCCCAATCATACTGCGAATGTCGTATGAACAATTCTATTCGGCAGGTCAAAATTAGAAGCAATTCTTTTATGTTTGCCGCCAAAATTAGACGAGTCGTTGAACTTATCTTTTTTAGAGGCGTAGCCGCTATTTTTAAAGTTTGTTTAGTTCTGACGTTGAAAATGTGTTACACACATATCGTCGGTTTTTTTGCCAAAAAAAATTGTTTTTCGACACAATTGACACGAAATACGTGTCAAAGTTCAGATGAAGAATATAACGCATAAATTGTTTTTTCTGGCACACCCTATGTATTTCTACGGCGAAAGTAATGGAAAACTACTGAGGTGACTGAAGAATGGGACTGCTAGAAAGCAAAATAGGTCCGTGAAGAAAATTTAAGGTGGAAAACTATTTGACTCTGCGAAACTATTTGAAAGCAAAGATTTGTGTTCCTAACAAAGGACAAGCAGATTACAATTGTAAAGTTAACAGCTTAGGTTATAAAAAAGAAACTTATTATTAATTTACAATAAGAAAGATTCTTGTTGAAAGGTTAAGGACAGTTTTGTATAAAAAGAAAAAAGTTTTTTGCATTATCGTGTGTATTTCTACATCTTAGATAAGATTTGTAAAAAAGATTTTAATATAAATCGCATCATCCTTATTTTTACGTACTTGTATTGAAATAATATTTATTTCAAGCAATATTTATTTGATTGACTACTTTTGGTGATAGTCAGTCGCAATAAAATACTGGCAACACACGGAATGGAAAAAACATGGCCGATATTAAATATCGGGCAATTTCTTCATATTGTTTTTTTACACACGGTTGCGTAGACTTTGTATTTAAACACTCGTCTCAATTGATAACAATGGAAAATGACGGATTAAAGTGTTATCGAAGAAAAGAGCGATAACCTACAACGTCTCGGCTCGAAAGCCGACGTGTACGGAGGTGTGGCAGAAGATATGGAGGTGGACGAGCACGTGCTCACTGAGTGATAGAATTTTTTTTTTTTTTTCCTCGTGTTAATTACGACGGCTCGCCTTTGGTGGGGAGTTAGCGAGCAAATGGGAACGCGCGCCAGTCAGCATGAGAAGCGAGATAAGCGAAAAAGAACGTAAATGTGAGCAAGCTGGAGAATCGTTTAGGAATTGGTGTGCGTTGCATGTGTGCACGTGATCGAAATAGAGACAGCGCGAATTAAAAAGAGACAGGAAGTGAATGAAACGAGACGATCAAGCGAATTTGAGTACGTGAGGGAACAAGCACGGCTTGTACGTGGAAACATCAGAGTAAGCGAGACAAACGATTAGATCGGAGAGGACTCCAGTAACGTATCTCGAATGCGTCAGAACCAGAGTTTTAGATTGCGAGCTCTGTTTCTCGCAACAAACTTGCGCTTATCAGCGCGAAACACCAATTTTCTGACGAATTCGAGAGATAACTTTACAAAAAAAAAAAAAAAACAGAAAAACAAAATTATATAGAACGCATTGTCGAGCGATGATTCAATTGCGAGTCAATGTAATCGACATCCAAGTCTGAATCATCCGAATAGTTGCGTGCAATCCGAGACGGTGCAAGTAAATGTAACTCAAATGTATTATTCAGATGTGCTCAAATATCAGTGTATATTGACTTAAGCAGTTGGTTAATCTTATCTTGACTGAATATCCACAAAGAGAATAAAGAACTGAGACATCTGGATATTTAACAACACTTAGTCATGCCGTACAAGTTTTCAAGTATTCGAGTATTACTCGCAAATTTATGGAGCAACGGATATTGGAATAATCCAGGATTTGGTAAAACTCACTGAGGGATTTGATAAAAAAAAATACTTCAAATCCGCGCACGCTAAGTTCGATCCTGAGGTAAAAGAGGGAACAAGATAGACGCTCTTCTTCTCCTTATCTCGTTCTCTTTCTCTTTTTCTCCGCTCGCATAACTAAATGAACAAACGAGTGCGAGAAGGTACGCAGCAAACGTGACAGGAGGAACAGAGGAAGGGAAATCCACGTATTCGTGGCACAGAACTCCGTCGTTGTATATCAGTACCGTCGAAGTGCGTTTCTGTCGGTCGCCACGCGTACACCTGATGCAGGTGCGTCATTAACGAACCGCGTCGCGGTACGACGAAACGTCGTCGTGGAAATTCGTTTGAGTTTCGCTCATTCGTTTCGCTTCAGAGTCGATGAAATATAAAAACAACGCAGGTGTAATCAGAACGGAACTGTGATAGATACACCATCGTGAATCGCGCATTCGAAACCAGTAAGGTGAACCGAAACGGAAATCGCCGCATGTGGCTGTTCCGTCAGAGAATGTTTCTCGTTACACCGGTCGACAATAATCGTTGGGCCTACGCAATGTACGGACTGGAAAAACCGATGGATCATGTGTCCGGTAATGATTTTGACGGTTCTATTTGCATAGATCTAAACAAAACTTGAGGGACACCTCAATTTAAAAAACTCAAAACAATAGAAAAATACCGAGAGTTGACACTTGTCGGTATTGTATTCGCTGCAACGCGATAAACAAATATATATATAAAAAAATATATATTCAAACACATCGTAATCACGATCGAGAATTTTCGATTTTTATTTCCATATTCCATACTTTCTTACGAGTCACGAGCTGAATTCTGTTTACCAGAATGTGCTAATATTAGCGACGCCATCACGTCGCGGTATTCGCTGTTCACGTGTCTCGCGAGTGCACGTCCCGCATTTTCAATTAAGGTTGAATTGTTGTTCGCTATGAGTACATATGCATAGAAATAACTGCTGATACACGATAGCGTTATATGATAAATTGAGTCGCACTTTGCGTACCAGTCATGTGTCAATAACGTCATTGAGTTATATTAAAATTTATATTCTCTTGATGTGTTACTTTTTGCGGGTCGACTTACGAGAGATTAGTGCCGGCTAAACAATAAACAGACACAACAAGCGGTTATATAATTTGCGTCCTGGAATATTATTAGAATTCAATAATAATTTTAATATTTCTATAGCTATACACGAATGTACTTGGACGCGCATCTCTGATGTAATTATAAGAATCACAAAGTCGAGAGAGTTCGACGTGTTTCATCAAGACTTGATCGTAACCGGTTGTAATTATTTCTGATTTAATCGGACCGACGGAAATTTTTTAAACTCTTATTATCGCGTCGTCTTCAACGCAATATAAACGCTATATAGACGCGATTACGAGAAGACACGCACTATCTGACGTGATAACAAATAGAGCTAATCACATCTGGCCACGTGCAACGTGCGTGAACACACAGTTTTGCCGCTGTGCACGTGTGTTTACCGCATTAATGTGATACGAACAGAAACTGCACACACAGACGCATATGCCATTTTGCTGATAGTACCGCTAAAACACGGACGACTAAAAATAGACGGAAAAATACACACGATGAAACGTAAAAAGCTACGCTATTTCATATTCAGTTCGCAACGCGCGTTTGACCTCAAACCCGGCAATGTAACCATTAATACAATATATTTTTATTTTGTATTGCGTACACATGCAATTTTATTTTACTGACGATGAGAGAAATAACAAGAGTGCGCTGAGTAAAAAATGTTTCTCAACTGGAAGTTAAACACAATTCGAATTAAATTTATAATTCGAGAATCTACTTTGCATCTCTTGATTTTTATTTCACCAAATTATGCTGCGTCCTCGAATCTTACCTGAAAAAAAAAGAAAAACATCTTTTGTCACCTTTGAAACAATCGTTACACATTAAGATGCCATTTCATTGAGATGCAAATGCACTTCCGTAAAAGAGCAGCGGGGTCAGACGATTCGTCTATTTTACTACTTTGCTTCGCATTGCGTATTTGCAACGACTCGTGCATATGTTGTGTAATCTTATAGAACATAATATGTTGTTTTTTTCGCAATTATTTGAAAATTTTTATGATGATAATTAAAAGAAGATAGACAAGATCAAATCAAAAGATCAAATCAAGTTAAAGATACAAGCTTTATTGTCACGACAGAAGTTTTACGAAATATTTGGCATTCTGACTCGACTATAAAATCTTTAACATTCGGCGAACACGAGACGCGTTATATTTTTGTCTACTACGAATAAGAAAATAGAAATTCTGTTCTAAAATATAAATCCACATAAACGTGAACGCGCGCGCGTAGATGTGGAAACCAGTATACCGGCTTTGATTGAATCAAGTTGGAAAATTATGAAGATTTGTTTATCGCGCGCGCGCGCGCGCGTACAATAAATTGAACAATTACACCAATAATAATCTTCTTTGTTTTGCACAGAGCGTACCGTTCTTTCTCTCAATAATATTTATAACTGAACTTTTTTTAACTGATGTAAACATTGCATTTGGTATCAACGCGGAGATAAGAATCAAGGTCTAATTATCAGGAATATTTAACGATAAGTGATCAACGAGAGTGCAGAAACGTTATTACGCGATAACAAATTCGATAAGAGCGAATCATGTCGGTTATCTTTATTAATTTTCCACTAATTAGCAATCACTCTGTATGTGTGTACGTGTATGTCCAATATGTTCGTTAATGGGACGGGAGCCAAGCGTGGCGCTGTGACATCCTTTCGGACGTAGCTGCGTGATATTAATATAACATTTCCGATCACGACCGCCGCGGCCGCTTCTCATTATTCACACACACAAGTCAAAACGTACGCGAAGCGGGGTGTGTGAGTCACTTGTTGGGATGCACTAGAGGTTGTCTTCTCGACGATCTTATTAGTCAGTCATTTCGTTTTGCGCAGCCGGTGGTGTCATGGCGGGCTCCGTTGCCACTTTGGCGATCCTTTGGGTGTCCCTTCAGACGATGGGACTTCTGGGACACTCTCACTCTATCGGCACGCACCAGCTGCCCGAATCACTGCAAAATTACCTTGCCAGTTATACCGGTAAGTGTTCATCGCGATTGGATTTATTATAAATTGCATGCGCCTCAGATTTTTTCACGCCGTGAAATCTATGGAAGATTAACGCAATTTTCCTCATGTAATTTAGTTTGCGTATAAACACAGCACTGTATACTTCAATGAAAATTTATTTTTTACATTCGCAATAAAAATAATGAAAATATGCAAAGGTTTAGATTTTTGTTTTTGTTTTTGTTTTTGTTTTTATTTATTTATTTATTTTTTTGTTTCTTTTTATATATGCGTCTATAGAATTGCACATTTTCCGTAAAGAATTGAGTGTAGTTTTAATATTAGTTTGCCTAATTATCTATTTTCGTGAAGCTGCGTCAGTTTAGCAACGATTGGAGATGGTCCAAACGTGCCATAACGTTCTCGATCGAGCCTATTTATTTTGAAACGAAGACCTAACTTAGATCCCGAAAATTTTATTTAAACACACTGTTACATGTCGATTCAATTATTTTCGTCATGTAACACTTATTACATTTAATCATTAACAGTGAATTCATTATCTTGTGATATTTTGAAGATGCGCTTTCAGGACTGCCAGTTGCTAATTACGGCTCCGAAGCCATCGTGGATACAGGTCGTTTTCAAAACAAAAGATTTCCAAGGATCGGCGGAGCAACTCTGAACAACTCGATCATGTTCGCACAGACGCTGGTCGATCGCATGAGCACTCTCGAGAATAATATTGCAAACGCCGGTATTGAACTCGAGGCGCAGAGTCCAGCTCAGAAGCAATTCTGGAACTCTTACCCTTCTGCGGATGCTTTCGAAAGAAGCCTTGATGCCATTGTAGCCACGAAAGCATCGTCCTATCTTGTCCATCAAAACTGTCGAAGGTAGATTTTGTGAATGGTGCTACTTTTCTTTAGAACGATGTTGACACGTTGAACACCCCGTTGAGAAATTGAGAATATATTTTCATTAGTTTTGTGCAAAATATGATTTATTCACCTAAGTGAAGAGACAAATGGGAAAATCTGTCACCCAGATACAATGAAACGTGACGATCAACGTGTTAAAAAAAAAAACACACAAATTTTGTAATAATTTATTTATTCTTGTCATCGTGTTTTCCATGATTTTAATCTTATCTGTACAATTCTTTTTCTCATAGATTTGGTTTAGATAAAAATGACTGCGCCCGTTATATATCGACGTTAGAGCTGCAAGGCACCTCGCTCGGTGAATCTTGTGCCGCGGTGCATAGCATGGAATGCGACAGAAGGTCGAAATATCGCAGCATCGACGGCACGTGCAACAATATTGAGAATCCGAGCTGGGGCAGCGCGATGACCGCGTACACCAGAGTTCTCTTCTCTCAATACTTCGACGGTAAGAGTGTCTTCTAACGCGATCCCACTTTCTCTAGCCCTCCCATCCACCATGTGTGTATCAACGACATTAGCTCGCGATATGGCATCGTTCTCATCACGTCCAGGCTTGAAATTGCATATATTGGACCGTCGTCGATACCTAAGGAAGACAATTGTTAATCGCGCGTCATCAGTAGTTTCGTCCCAGTCGCGGAAAAAACCCGTAAGCCAACCCCCCGCGCGCGTCATATCAAAAATCTCATCACGAAATTTTGCACGGGATTATCGAGATTTCGTAGTAGAGCGACTATATATGAACGCGCAACTTTGTTGTTAGAGATATTTGTTAACTCTGTGTGGAATAATAATCGTACAATTATTTGCAGCCTTTGAACGTTTAGCGCTTTCCCGTCTTTTCCGCAATTCCATTTCACAATGCCCCCCATTCCATCCTCGGGGGGGATGATTATCTCTCTCGCAAACTCCTCCATGAGTAGAGACAGTTTTTTTTTTTTTTTTTTTTTTTAACGAGACGTGATTTTTCGTAGACAAGATAAATCGCAGATGTGAACGCGGATACATATGAGCGAGTTTTTTCATGAGATAGAAGAAGAGTTAGGAAACGACGATTAGCAATATGTCATGAATAACGATGTATAAAATTGTACTGGAATTGTAAAATTGCGACGATTACGAGAGAATAATGAAAGTTAATGCAATTTTTCATCGTGATTTTTATCACGCGCGCTAGGAGCTATTCACCGCGAACACGTCGCAATAATAACCGGCGTTAGGTAAGGTGTGCGACGCTGATCGTTCGCGTAGTTGCACATATTTATTAGATGTCACGTGCATTCCGAACGAAGACGTAGCGACGGGAATGCGTCATCAAGTGAAAAACATACGTGACGATAAAAAAATCTTTTTGTCACTTAAATTTTATTATGTTTATAGACATGCATTATTTGGAAGTCGATCGACTCTACTCACAGATTTCACGCTATTTGCTCGAAACAGTAACAGTAAGATGATAATACATGCGTCATGTACTACGTTTCCGATAACGCGGTTCAGATAAACGAAGACGGTTTTGTTTTTCAACCTCGAGAAAGAAAGAGAAAAACAGTCAATCGGGTCAGATAAAAAGTTGTTATTGTATCTCTTTCTGCGAGTTCGCGACATTCCCGGACGCGTCTTGTTATTCGTATGAAAAATTCTCAGCGAAGAAACTTTGCATTCCCCGCGTTACGTCAGTTTTTTGTGTATATCATTCATGTGAATGTTATTAGATAAGCTTCTCTGCGTTTGGCGCGTTTGCTCGAAATAGATTCGGTTTAGACGCATCTCAGAAGATATTCAGGATATTTATCGTTTAAGCGTTTAGGTGTATCTTTTAACTTTGAAATACGAAACGGACATGTCGTTGAGTTCAAAAATCAATAATTTCAGAAGATTCCAGAAACAAATTACGATCAAGTTTTTTTAGATGAGACGTGCTATAGAAATTATTGTTTTCGTATTTTAAAGTTGAATACTGACTGTTGTGCTAATTGTGTGTCAAGATCACCACTCAAGACGAATACTTGGTATTTTTCTTTTGTATGTAGCACAAAAGTCAGAATAAAATGTCGAATTCATGCGTTACAAAACAATTTAACAGTATAAAGTTTGTGAAGTATAAAACTAATAAAAACGTAATAGAAATATAAAAAAATTACAACATACATTATCGCGACAATGTTAAATTACGATCTCAAGTCACACACGAATGAATTCGACATTTTGCGAGTATCATATATGTATCAATAGAAACATTGTTACGTAAAGTCTGTTTCAGTCAACATATTGTAGGAAAAAAACATCCAAGATAATCAACACATTTTTATTAGGAATATACCGCGCGGTGAGTTCTAACAATAATGCAACTGAGAGCGTAAGAAACCATTAAAAAAAAAAAAAAAGAAAAACAAATTCTCTTGCGTAAACGCGGAACTCACAGGTATAACAAAACCGTAATATAACGCGACTGAAAAACTGTTCTGTGAACAATTGCGATTAGCATTCGCGTAACTTGTGTCACAGCGCAATTTTTCAGAAGTTCAGAATTTGAGAAAGAGAGAGAGAGAGAGAGAGAGAGAAAGAGAGAGAAAGAGAGAAAGTGAGATCGTAAGTCGTCGCTTCCTATTTTGATTTTTTTAATTTGAACAGAACAAAGACATCTCGGGATGTCCAAGTCTCATGACTAAACCTCGACTCATCAATCCACCCTACCTTCCCCTATCTTTATCTCGACGTGTGTGCGATATTACACACACCCACACACATACCCAATACATTAGATGAATAACATACATTGCATACAAGACACGTACACACTCGCAATATAGACTCGCAAAAACACACGCACACTGATCCCTTGGGCGCTAATGGATAAACGTTCGTCGATTGGCTTAACAAATTATATTCTGTGATTTGCATTACAGTTGTTGTGCGATAAGGCACATAGAGCATAAAATGCCTGAGTGTAGCAGTGAATAATACTGCCTACAATAGGGTGCCCCGGTCGGGAGATTCTATCCAGCAGTAGAATGTGTATGTAAACTAATTCGGATATACCTAATAATGTATCATATTTAATTATGTAATACTAGTTCTCGAGTTCTTTTCTGTTCAATTGCGGCAATATACGCGACTCTCGCGAAGGCGGTTCGATCGATGGAACTCGATTTGGGAGTAATTCAGAGAGAGTCAACGTATATTTAATAATAATAATCATCTCCCAATCATGTTCAATGATGTTTAATTACTGTGCGATGTGATATATAAAAGCACATAAAATGTGATATATAAAAAAGTAGAGAAAAGTTTTACAACTTCTTAGTTTGAAAATTGCTTTTGTTTTTAATATCATATGACTAATTTTTATCGCTTGAAGTGTGTTCGCGTGTCTTAACAACATCGAAATTACTTGCGTGAGAGATGTTAACCCTCTTTTGTGCCTCTCGTGTTCATTCAGGCAGTGTAGACTTTTAATTTGCGTTAGAATTAGAGAACAGCATTTTTTAGCACCTTCTCCCAGTTTGGTTCACTCGTTCGATCGCCTTCATCGATCATCTCTATAGATAAGACCGTGGGACGTTTCTGCGAGCGTTCTCGATTCGAGCGGCCGTACAAACACTTGAAGACCAGGGCGATGATTGATTATATGCGGCAGCCGCAATTTATGTGTCAAGATCCAAGTTTCACAATTGACATCTCTGCCATTATCTTAAACATCCAGCAACAACAAACGGCTCGTCGTTCGACAACGCATCAGAACGTCGAAATCGATGTAGTCGAAAAAAAAAAAAAACTTACTTGTTTACTTCGCATTTTCCGCTTTGCAGCACGAGAATTAGGACAGTTGAGGGATCGATCAGCTTTGGGAGCGAGATTCGAGTTTCTTCGCGAATGAACAATGTGACTCGTGTATCGATGTAGCGACTTGCGGACTTGTTTCCGCGGATACGTTCGCGACGCGGACGAAATTCTCGCTCCTCTGATCGTTTCCTGAATAAATTTATGGCGCGTGACAAGAGGCAGGTGTTAGGCGTTGAGTTTAGGATATCTTAAGATTAGCATAGCCGGCGGAATACTTGCCTATTTATAGCTAGAACAGAGACTATTTGTACAGCTGTATCATCTCATAGATCATCTTCTCTCGTGCTGCACTGCCACGCGTTCACTCGATAAGCGCGCGCGTTTGAGCTCGCCAAAATCGGAGTAATCACACAAACATAAAGAAGCTTTGCGCTTGTAGCGCGATCGACGCAAGATTCTTCATGAATTACCTCGAATTCATGAATGCCTCATGTTCACAAATTCGCGAATTTTATCCGCAGAATCGTATCGTTTGATTCAATTATAATTTTGTTTCTGCGATTCGAATGATTAATAATAATAATAATAATAATAATAATTCATTCCATTTCGCGGAGCAATCCGACGCGTAAGCACCGCATCCGTTTCAAAGCAGCACCGATTTACTCCGATTTTGCGACTTTGAGATGTTAACACGGCATGGAAAGTCTAATGTGCGTTTTGGGAAGCAGGCATCCAAGAACCGAGGCACGTCGGACAAACCAAACAACCACTGCCAAGCCCGAGAGTCGTAAGCGCCGCTCTGTCCACCGCGAACGATCAATCGGACGCTAGCAGGACACTGGCTGTGATGGAATGGAGCCAATTTGTCGCTCATGACATTGCCTACACCCCAGTTCGCAAAATGGGTAAGTGGATTTTCGTAAAAACATGATTTTTTTTTTTCTTTTTAATCAATACAGAAAAGGAGCGTCGCGCGATCGATAACTGTATTCAAAAATAAAACACAAAACATGAACATCAGAGTCATGCGCGAGAGCTTAACGATCTTACAATAAATTTTGTAGCATGCACGCAAAAAAAATGTAAACATTCGTTGTTACACAAGTCGTCATGTATTGCGTAATGTAAACACACTTGAAAGAGATATCTAATTTGGTACTGCATTATCTGAATTTCAACATCATATCACGAGATAAAATCGTACGTAATAATGTACATAAAAATGTGCAAAGAAACAACAATGTCGAGGAAATTTGCAAAACATTTTGTTTGATAAAATGTCTGACCGACATTTTTGACTGACGTTGTTTCTGACGATTAAAAAAATTATTTTCTTAATTACAGTCTCAACTGGGCAACCAATTTCTTGCTGCCAATCGGATGGAGACACCCTGTCCCCGCGTCATGTTCATCCGGATTGTTTTCCTATCAGCGTGCCAGATCGCGATCCCGTTTATGGCCGACATTACGTTCGTTGTATGAATTACGTTCGGTCCTTGCCCGTTCTGAGGTCGGAATGCACCTTCGGGCCCGTAGAACAGGTAATCACGGAATTGTTACGTTCTCTTTCTCTCCAAATATAGAATCGTTAGAAATTATCTTCTCGCAAACTCGAGATTATTTAATTGTAGGCATGTAATTTATTAAGGAAATAACAACACGGCAGATAATATGAATTTGCAGATGAACCAAGTGAGTCATTTCTTGGACGGTTCCGCGATTTATGGATCATCTTTGAAAAAATCACGCGAACTTCGCACGTTCGAGGGCGGTCGTCTTCACGTCGACTCGCGAAACAATCGCGAATACTTACCGAGAGCAAGTGCCGAATCCGCAGAGCAGTGCGGAGAGAACTGCTACAATTCCGGTGAGCATTAACTCTTTATTTGCGATTTAAATTTTTTTCTGACAACGAATAATTTTATATAATTTATTGTGTAATATGCGTGATGCTTTCACCAGGTGACAATCGTGTGAACATTGAACCTCAATTGGCTGTGATCTATACGATTTGGCACCGCGAGCACAATCGCATCGCCAACAAGCTTGCCAGGTTGAATCCGGATTGGTCAGACGAGATCCTGTATCAAGAAGCCAGACGTATCGTAATTGCTGAAATTCAGCATATCACTTACAAAGAATGGTTGCCGATCCTATTGGGCAGACGGTTCGTTCGAGCCAATGGTCTTCTTGTAGGGAGCAGTTACAATCGTAACTACAATACTGATGATGAGCCAGCAGTCAGCAACGAAGTCGCCACTGCCGCGCTACGTTTTATGCATTCACTGATGCAATCTAAACTAAGGTGAGTTTATGTTCCAAAAATAAATTCCTGCAAAAAGATCAGTCGCGAAATGAAAGCACAGTCACAGTTTGCCTATGATTGCAGCATGCCGGACAATTCTCGTCAACAGAACAAGACAATGGAGCTAGCGGAACATTTCTTCAATCCACGCGTAATCGAATCTGACGACGTGTTCGACGGATTGCTTCGTGGTCTCGCTACTCAAACCAGCCAGAAGATGGACATTAATCTCATTTCAGACGTGAGTAACTTTACTGAACTTCTTTTCTTATAGTTTTTTTTTTCACGTAATTGATGAAGAAGAAGAATTTGTAACAATCGGCATTTTTTACAGATGACAAGCAAACTGTACACCAGCAATAGCAACGACTTGGGCCTCGACGCCATTAGTTTGGACATTGAACGCGGTCGCGATCACGGTCTTCCCGGGTACAATTACTACCGCAGATATTGCGGTCTTCCTAATGCCAGAACTTTTGATGATTTCCTAGATTACATTCCTAATGAGGTAAGCTTGAACGATGCACACATTGTTTTTACGCATATCTATAATATTTTGGAAATGAGTTTTTGATATAATTCCCGTCTTTTTGTTATTAGATGGTACGTAAACTGCGTACAATCTACTCTCATCCTAATGACGTGGATCTCATCGTGGGAGGTATGGCGGAGAGACCGGCGGGAGACGGCATGGTCGGTCCGACCTTCCGTTGTCTCATTTACGAGCAGTTCTCCAGATCCCGACGTAGCGACAGGTTCTTCTACGATTCCGTCGTACAACCACATCCCTTCACACCTGGTACGCTGAATTTTTTTTATCTCGCATGCCACATGTGCGTTTTTTGACATATTTCGAATTTATCAATCAATTGATTTTTCATTGTACAGAGCAATTAGCTCAACTTCGTAACGTCACCCTGGCACGTATACTCTGCGACAACGGTAACAACGTTACATACATGCAGCGCAACGTGTTCATCAAACCTCAAGCTGGGTAAGTACTCTTTCGTGTGTATCCGCGATTCGATTTAACATCAGAAATTTGTGACGTCTGCTTGATCGCTTGTCTTCATCCATGATTTCAGGAACGAGCTGAGACGTTGCGCAGATTTCGAAGCGATACCCAGCGTGGACCTCTTTGCCTGGGCGGAAAGGGCGAAAGCGTACCGTTGAAAATTTTAATTAATTGGCTGGTCACACTGCAATTCTGTTCGCCCGTAGACGTAGTGCGGGCCTAGTGAAGAAAAGGGGGAAAAACGCAAAGGAAGCGCAACGCGCGCGGGGAAGAGCGATTATGTGAGACTTACGCAATAGTCTCATCAGAATCGTCCGAGGTGTCGCGACGTATCGCGTTCACCGTAGCCATGACAGAGATTGGGGGGACAGTTTCGAGGCAGAACAAAACGGAAAAAATCACGTGACTAGTCGATTAAAAACAAAAACAAAATAGAAATATCCAGTAGCTGGAATGAGGTTGGTGCGCGGGTGCAAACTGGATCTGGATGCGATCGACGATTCTCAGCTTTCTCACGAACTGAGAAGAACTGCCCAAGACTTTCATCATCACTTCGCGACCGGCTTCGCTCGTAGGACTGCATTTTCGCGACAGTCTGATATTATATAGTCTGATATAAACAGCGTCCGTAGATAGTCTCGTGTATTATGTGTGAAGTCTGTATGCGTGGAAGTAATGAACACCAAAAGCGTGTATTATATCGAGGTGTTCACGCTTTTATACGGTTGCGTTGAGTCAATTGGTTTAAATTACAAGTACTTATAGCGACTGATGAGTTTGTGATGATTTAGGATAAAAAATATAGGAAATAAGATTTTTTAGAGAGCAATTATACCGCAATATTGTCTCTCATCGCGTTAGATTGTAAGTCGACAAATATAAAGAATTATATTGTAGGACAAAAAGACATAAAACGTTACAAGATACAAAAATAAAATGCATTTTTTTCACTTTTGAAAAATAAATATACATCAAAAGAAAGCGAATAAGACGAAGCTGTAACCGGAAGCAATAATTTATCGGGCGTACACAGTTTGTCCGGAAAGTTCCCGGACTGATTTTTTCTAGCGCGGGTAAGCGGCGCTATCGAGCGATCAACGCTGGAACTACTTAGTATAGACCTTCCTTTAACCAGGCAAATTTTTTCGTCGTGGTCGGCGATGTTTTGATATCAGTAATTATCATTTGT